TGCAGCCTGGAACGAGAAAAGTCGCCAATAGACTCACAATGCTGGATATTGCTTCTTAGTCTTCCCGTCTTCTTGAAACCCTTGACATCTTTGATCCGGGTTTGGCGCTGCATGCGCTCGCAGTGTTGATAGCGGAGGCGTTCTAGTTCAATCCGGGCTTGTGTTGTTTCGTATAGGTAATGCTGTTCGTCACCTACAGCGAGGATATGGATAAGCATGTGCTCGAGGTCAGAAGACGATATCAAGCCTCTAGCATTGAAGTAACCAATGTTTATGACCATCTGGTCCATGATCTTGTGTCTACCGATGAGAGCAGGGACCAAAGCCTCGACATCAGCGAGGGTCATCGGATGGCGTGAGATGTGTTGCAGGAGAGGACGCTGGCCTTTGACAGGCAAGTTCCTCATCATTCGTTCCACAGGAGTTGGGAGTGGGGGTGGCGTGTATTCTTTGACGCTACCTCTCAACCCCACTGCATCGCTTGCGCCTTGGTGTGATGTATCATCTAAGCTAGATGGGTCAGGAGCTGGGGAAGGGGCAATGGGGGACACTGGGAATACTAGATCAGTCCGACTTTGCCACCCGACACAGCCGCCCAGACTCAGAGATGCCACTCGGGACTCGAGCGTTGACACAACCATGAGATTAGTTGAACAGAGGTGAGAAGAGGTGATGGAGCTAGAGCACTGATCGTGATACACCTGTAGGTAGTGAGATGTTGCTCATGTCCCGTACTGAGGGACTTCGCCTAGGCATATGTTGAACGGAGTGAACAGTGTTTCGCGCGGTGTGTTGGCATATTGCAGCATACCCAGCGGGAAGTGAATCTGTCCTGCATGCTTTGTGAGTCCATCAGTACAATCATACGACATAAGAATTTACAACGTGTTGTGCAATAGAGCACTCTCCACGCTCCCGCAACGCACGATGTGAGACTGCAACGGAGTACGTACACAATGCCGCGTAGAAAGGGGATGTGTTGGAATAAGTGAACAAAATATGCGAAATAGAGGCTGGAAAGGCATTATGCATACTATACGTGTACCGCTAGATGGCTGGAAGCCCGCAAAGTCAATTCTATGCATGTTTTGCCAAACGTCTCCAAAAGCAAACACGACTCACTGTAATCGCATGTTTGAACCTTGCTTGGGGAAGGCGATGGCGTGAGACGCGATGTGCAAGTCCTGCTCACACAACTGCTGAAAGCTTTATGGCTCTCAAAACAAAACTGAGCAGTTGCGTACCGAAGTTCTGTTGCTTCAGGACTAGTACCCGCATATGGCGGACGAGTACCATGACGTATTGATCTGGCCTGCGCGCAACATTGTGCTTTGCCCGTTGCTACTCCGAGAACTAGTCTTATGCGTTCCAGGTCAGCTCGTAGCCGAAGACAGTCCGGCGAAGAAGTTCATCCTAAGTTCGGTCAGTGATGTCTACAAGTATAGCGATCCGCAAGACTCACACCAGGATCTTCCTCGAACATGACCTTATCCATGACCTTCTCGAACGTCTTAGCGACGGTAAAGCCCGCTTCCTTGGCCAGATCAAAGAAAGCCAGGTCTTTCTCGTACAACCACGGGCGGTATGGTGTAAAGAAGACGTAGGCTCGGGAGTTCGGCGATTTCTTGAGGGTCAGCTGGACAGTCTTGATGAGTTTGGCATGTTCCGAGTGGTTGAATAGAAGGTCGGCCAAAATGAGGACATCAAAGCCCGAACCATCAGCCAGATATTTCGTCAAGTCACCGGTAGGCGCACCCCAGAGATACCCCTGTACATACATTAGTGATGTTTGCCGAGGTCGAGCACAGTCACAAACCTCCGCCACAATCTTGGGTGGCTTAGGCAGTAGTTCGCAATGGTCGACATTGTATTGCAGGTTTTCGACCAACTCAGCATCGGGATAGTCCGTGACGACCGTTTGAGCGGCACCGTTGAGAGCACAGACAAGGCTTGGAAGTCCTGCTCCGGCGCCAAGCTCGAGAACCGTCCGGTTTTCTACGAGCTCTTTTGCATTCTCCTCCAGGTATTCAGATATAGTGCGCCCTGCATTCCATAAAAAGTGCCCCTGAATGTGTCAGTGAACGTGCCAGGCGCAGTTCAAGTACGTCAGAACTCAGCGAATGTATCGAAGCATTTCCGAAAATTCCACGGGCTTTCTAGAAGTCTTCTAGAAGAACGGAAGCCAATAGTGGTTGCATTGACAAGTTCCATACAGTGCTTCGGCATGTCGGTGATCAAGTGCATGACTTACCCACAAAGGGTTGTGACCAACTAAACGAACAGTGAGCTCTTTGCCGGAAAGCAGCTGATGCGACGCGAACGTGGCCTGCTTTTCTGGTTCATAGAAATCGGCAGGCTCTTGGAACAGGTCCAGGCCCTCCTCGTCGGCTTCTGAGGACATGATGAAAGTAAAGTTGTGACGAAACAATGGTCTTGGCGAAGATTGTATTTTGGGTGTTCGAAGAGCGGAGCCACAAGTGGCACGTGCCTAGATCACCAGCCACCACCTTTCCTATCTCAGCTGCGTTCCAGACAGCCGCAATCTTCGAAACAGCGGATCGCCGTCATCAACGGGGTCTGAAGGCTGACCAGGCAGGATGCGCTGCAAACGGCCGCAGGGTCTGCCGCTCGCTCGTTGGCTGTGGCAGCGAGCGTTGCACCAGCCCGATGGCGTGGGACGTGATCCAGGTGGCTTCGAGCGACGCCTCATGTATACCACGGCCTACCAATCGCGCCCACACCGATTGAATTATCGCGGTACTCATCTGAGCGCGCCAGGGTCCGCTCGGCGCCAGATTCCCCACGCTCCAGTGATATACCCGGCGGCCGCAGCATCGTTTCCACGGTTCTTCTGACCATGATCTGAGCAGGCACAGGTGCTGCTCTCCGTAGGTCACGTTTCCATAACTCCCGTCTTGCACGTACTTTATTCCAACACTTCCTCCACTTACTTTACCGATGAGACATCGCCTGGCATCTATTTCTCCATCATCGCACCTTCTGCTTGTGCCGCCCTGAAGCGACTAAGACCGCTTAGTAAGAAACTTGCTCAACGCTAAGGCACTAAGCCTAATCCAACCCTCCGCCAAACGTCGCATCCATTCAATTCACGACAAACCTTCGAGCGCCGACCAGCAGATCCCACGCCTTGACACCTGGAGACCCGAGTCATTCATCCGTCTAGTGGGGAGAGGTGACGGCGGTGTTCTTTCTGCGGTTTCGAACTGGTATCTCACGTCCCCACCAACGCTGGGCCCTGTCAAGGCAATATTTCTCCAGACCGCATCCTGGGAGGTAATCCAGTACAACCGGCGCCCTGATTCCGCCGGCTCTCAACTGAGGACCCTGCCGCTGTTGCCGTGTGCATTTCCGACGTGCGCCCGCCTGCATACGATCCACCATTCATCCGTTCCGCGCTCAAGATCGCTACTGCATCAACCAACGCCTGTGCTTATACAGTATTATCACCGACACTGGGGGAAGCCGGTGGCAGCGCTTAGGGTTATCAACGCTCCAGGCGCTCGGAGCTGGACCCTTCACAGATCACTTAGCCAAGCCCAGTACCGAGTCTACCTTCTCTTTCGGATAGTTACATCGCACCACATTGAAGCCTGTCGGCCACTTTCCTATCCAACGAGAGTCGTACGTTTAGCCTAGACTCTTGCCACTGCAGTCTTCCGTGCCGTACGCCACCTCACCCCTCCGCAAGACTTTCACGTGCGCGGTGTACAGTAAGCTTGGACAAAAGCTGTTTCCATCAGCAGTCTTACTTCGTCCCCGATACACGGCGCATTTGGTGGTAACCTGCCGCGGATTGAGCAAGTTATTTCGACCTCATATCAGCCCCGCATCATGTGGGCCGAAGTCAATGGAGAGCGCAAGAAGGTCGCCTGGTAGGTACTCCCGCTTATTCGTCTTGCTCCTTGTTCTGCATTGTCCTACCCTCTTGTCTTCGCTATTTGTTACGCACATACAGCAGGTACCCGAGAAATTCTTTAGCGACTGCGGCTTGCATCGCATTGCGCAGGCTGCTCATTCGCTGTGCACTTTAACTGACTTTCAATAGCGGTCCGTGCATCCGCGGCCATCGCTCGTCGAAATGCGACCACAGAGATCGGGTACTTGTCGAGGTTCGAAAGCCGGGTCGACCTTTGAGTAGCTGTCCACATCCGACTGGCTCATGCAGTTGCGAACGTGTTGTCATCAACTACACAATTCCCAAAGCGTCTGAATGTGCTTGCCCTTCGGAACGAGCTGCACCCACAGCTACCGTTGCAGGAAACAGTCGAATCCAAAAAGGCAGGCGCAAGTCTGCAGCCGTCACCCCGTACAACCTCGAGAAGGCCATCCAGGCTGGCTTTGACGCCAAGACTGATGCCTCTTCCATCACGTATACGCCCTCAGAGACAAGTGGTAGCAACGCAGCGTCACTCCCTTCGAGTGCAAGCTCAACCCCACGTTTACTCCCTGCGCAAAACGAGCCCGTCTCAAGTTGCTGCAAGCCAAAGCCGGTTCTATCGCCAGTTCAAGAAGGAGGTTGTTGTAGTAGCAAAGCCAAGCCAGCACCAGCACCAGCACAAGGAGGCTGCTGTAGCAGCAAAGCCAAAGCCAAACCAGCTCCAGAGCCGCCAGTGCAGAAGAAGTCTTGCTGTTCAACGAAGCAGGAAGATGCATCCATCAACGACCAGTCACACGCTTATCAACATATGGGACATCAATTCCAATTTCCAGCTCAAGCGGTGATCCCACAGTACCAAAACTTCCATGCGCAAATACCATCGCCTGCACCGAACCCCTTTGGTCTCGGCACTCCCATCTACAACCATGCAGCGGCAGCCTATCATCGCCAAAATTCCGTATCGATGAGCCCTTCGACGAACCCTCCCATGTCACCGTCTGTTGCAAGTCCTCACATCGGTCAACACGTCCCCGAACACAACTGCCATTGCGGAGAGTCATGTAGCTGTTTTGGATGCGCAGCGCACCCGAACAACGCTACAATGATGGAATATGTTAGGATCATGGCACACTTTCAGTACAACGGCGGCTTCGGAGGGATGCCTCCACCTCTCTACGACATGCCTACCTACCCTCATCAATCTGGCTATGGAGCGGAAGCCGGTCACAACCTGAACTTCGGCCCAATGCAACAAAGCTTGGCAACACCCACACCAACGCAGATGAGCTTCCAACAGAGTATGGATATGGCGACCATGCCCCAGGTACCAATGGTGTTGCCCAGAGACTGGCCACAGCAACTGAACCCCGTGCCAAGCCAGCCGCAAGCCCAGTTCTCGACCAGCCTTGGTTACACACCGTCCATGTCAGCGCCAAGCGACACGTTGCAAAAGTCCACAGATACTATAGGATCACCTGCAGCAAGCAGCCCAAGCGATATCAAAGACGAAGACACCGTAACGCTGTCGCCGTCATCCTACTTCTGGAACGAGATGACCTTACCAAGCTGTTCAGATGCGTCTGGTACCTGTCAATGCGGAGATGGCTGCGCATGCGTCGGCTGTCTTACACACGGCGGTCATACCGGTCAAACTCTGGAGGACCCAACACCGACGACGACTGCAGAGCATGGCTCTTTTCTCGGTTTCGACCCGAGTCTGGCGCTTAACATGAATGATCCGACCGACTTCCTTAGCTTCAATCCGGACCCGAGTTGAGGCAAACCTTTCACATGAAGTTCCTCTGGATCGAGTGACATAGCTGTCAAGGTGTTTGTTGCTCGTACTAAGGACCTCTCGATTGTTCCACGTTACATCATAGCGACGCGCACTTACGCGCAAGTCATTCACATGGTTTAACGATATGCATCAACACCATCAGCTTGTATGCGTCAAGGTGTGCTATGAATGGCAGGTATGACAACGCAGCCTTTCACGACCTGTTGTCCATCGGCACATCGGTTAGCCCGCCCTCACGTCCGCTACACGTTACATCTCCATTCATGCTAATCCACCTTCATCTCCTACACGTTCGCCGCCGTCAACAGTGTGACAGGTGGACCGTCTACCGTTGCATCGTCATGGGAGGGAGAAATTGTGTTTTAGCAGCATCACAAGAGTTGGCAGTTTGGCTCACGGAGGATTGCACTTTGCATTTTTTGTTGTTTCACCGATTGGTGTACTGAGACGATACCCCGGCATTAGGCTGATGGAGACTTCGTTGCCGTATGATAGCATAGTGAATCGATGTTTACGTTTCATGGGTTACCTCCTGAACATTGTTCGATTCAAGTGTGTCACCTTTCTTGCAATCGTGTAGAATATCAACGTAAGACATTGAAGTCAACAGGCCATTGGCTTTAACGAACGAAGAGCTCTTCTCGGCCTAGGAGCCCAAGAAGACTATGCATCACGACCAGCACGTGGATCACCGCCCATAAAGATCCCGATACTATTACTAACAGAAGAGAAAATGTGTACATATCCGAAGAAAGGTAATTGGTAATCCGTTCAAGAAATCCGAAACCTCCTCCAAAAGCTCCGTCGAGATCGTTGCCGCAGTCCGCCGGGCCTTCGACATTGTGAAAGTATTGACCAGGAATACATGAGCCTGCTGAAATAGGCTGACGTGAAAGTGGGAAATAGTGAGAACAGTGTCGTGAGAGCCGAGGATCTAATAGAGACAGACCAAGGAAAGTGACAAGACAGCGGGGTACATGCGTTCGACGCTGGACTAAGGACAGATGTGCTAGCCATCTGATAGTACAACCGTGAGATCGCCATGCATGATAGCAGCCTATCCAAGTTAGCGATTGTCTGGCTTTGTCTCAGGACAGTAGAGCAACATACAGTGCAGCCGCGATCTGGGTCTTCCCAACACTTGTCACCTTGACACCACTGGTTTGTGGCGCTCTTGTACCGACAAGGAGACACGACGCCATCGCCAATGAAAGTGATGTCGTAGCCAAGTCGTTCCTTCTTGCATAGCTCGTTTTGTTTCAGGCTGGAGAAACCTTCCTTCATTGGACCGCCATCGAAAGATGTTCCAAAGACCGCTGGCGCCCAATTGCCCTTGCCTCCCATTTCTGTACCCCACGTACAAGCCTCGTCTTCAGGTACGCCCTGTTTGTTGACGTAGTACTGAGCTGAAGTTTTCTTGCCTTGCCAAAAGAAATACTTCTGTTGATCGGGATTGGCTAGGAAGCCCGTCTCACCAGGACCGACGGTGACTGGGAAAGTCATGGACTCGGTTCCTGCCACGTGTAAGCAAGTGCGTTGGGAAGGTGGGTGTTTACCATACCAGGATAGTCTGTGCGACAGAAAGAGACAGACTTTGAGAGTTTGTTCTGCACTTTCACACCCATGTGCTTTGATCCTTGAACGCAGAGAGTATTGGCGATCTTGCCGTCGGCCATCTCCAGGAACCCCTCTTCATTGCAGTACAAGCCACCAACACTCTGACCCGTCCTACCTTGAATCGAGGGGAACGAAGCCTTGAGATACGGATTCGGGCAGCCATAGGAACAGAAGCTGCCAGACGTACAGCAGGTACCGTCCGAGCATGAACCTTTCGGAACGGTTGTGATGTCATCGAAACCATCCCCTCCGGAATACTGGGGATCTTGGATACCGGACCAGCCTCCTAGTCCCTCATGGGCGATAGGCAAGGCACCATATCCGTGAGGGAACTCAGTGCAACGTATCTTGCCGTTCGGGAATTCTTTGTCGCACTCAGCACAGTGACCATCCTTGTCGACCATGTCTATCCAGGGACGCGGAGTGCCGGAGTGCTGAACAGGTGTCGTATCCTGAGAGGGACTCGGTGTAGGGTCGCTTGGGGGCATTTCGGGTGTTGGCGCGGGCTTTTGCGGTTCGGGCGCAACAGGCTCGGGCTGTTTGGCAGCCTTCTTAGGAGTGGGTTCTGGTGTCGGGTCGGCAGCTGGAGGCAGAGTAGGCAGTGCGACAGGACTACTAGTCGATGTCGAAAGAACACCATCAGTGCCCCACTTCAGAGTGCCGTTAGCGATACCCTCACGGGCCTCTTCTTCTGTGATTGAATGATCATCGAGCCAGTATACGATATGAGTCTCGGTTGCTGCAGGCGTGAACATGGTACCGCGCTTGACCGGATCGTGAGCATGAGCGTGGCGGTGCATGTGGTGCGGCTTAGCTGCAGTGATTACAGCAAGCGCTGTCGCGGTAACTATGTGCCCAATCTTCATGGTAGGCTAGAGCTTGCAACACTTTTGTGGAAGTCACTAATACCTTCTCCTGACGTTAGCCAGTGCGGCAGGAAGTAGTGTGACACAGAGCGACTCACCGTTTCTTCCCTATAAACAGTTACTTCCTCCAAGTTCTTGACAGAACGATCGGTGTCGCGGTACTGCTTTCGACTTTGTCGGCTACTTTATTGTTGTGAAGTAGGCGGGGAAGTAGCGGAGAAGGATATTGGCAGTGCCTAAGGAGCGAAATGGAGATGAAACTCCGGGTGAAGACACGAAAGAATGACCGGTGAAGCGTGAAAGCGACTGAGTCGGTTCTGACTTATAGGAAGCGAGCGTAGTGGGAAGATACAAGAGCGAAAGTGAGGTGAGTATTGTTTGTATCGTGGTGCCAAGACAGGGTCTCACTAGCGTGGCTGCTCCGTTTGGGCAAGAAGGAGCAATGAGTTAGGTATGCGCCTACTGCGTTCTGGAGCTCTTCCGCAAATAGACAATGATCGATCGCTGAAACGGGAAAGAGTGTGTGGTATGGCGAAGAGAGTGCATACACCGCTTAGATATCTTAGCTGTGGAGGAAAGTGTTAAAAAGAGTGAATGTGAATGTGACAATGGATTCAACAGCACAAACAGCGAAGACGACAATCAAAAGAAAGATTACCGTTCTCAAAGGAGGCTCGCTCATATGACCTTTCGGTCTAGTGAACGAGCTGCGTGGCATAGGTAGCTGGGTATTATCTGAGCAGGCTATCAGTCTGTGCCACATACGTACGTGTCCCGAAGGGACAAGAGTGCGCCTTCGCTGCCAGCTTGCCATGCGTCCAGACATAAAGTATGCCGAGAGCAAATGCGAGATACGTGGTGTCTCCAGGACTAAAGCACTCATTGACTGAGAGGCACCGGGTTCCTGAGGGCATGTCGATCTGGGCATGGCATTGGTCCATGCTCAGAATGGTTGTTCCTGTCAATACGCAGTGCGACATCGAAGTTTTGGTTAGACTTGGAAGAGCCGGATGCGCCCGCATTCTGCGAGAAGACACGAGTGGCGCGAAGAACAGGCTGAACGTGCGTAGAAGCCGAGAGATGGTCAAATGGTCGGACTGTACTGGGACTGACACAAGCCAGTTCTGACAGTAGTGCGGTCCTCCGTATTAACAGGCGCTGGCTTGCCTTGGGGTCTTGGTATGCGCGGTGACATTACTCCGATGTTACTGTCGTACAGAATGCATACAGAATACGCATATCCTCACGATGATTTGCGCAATTTGGCCGTGCAATGGGAGACGTCGAGAATCAGGGCGTCTGTGTGTGAACAAGCTGAAAGCCCAATGTCTGCGTGTGGGCGCATACGTAACCTGATTTGTCTTCTCTTTCGACAGAATGCAGCAGTTGGTCACTATCGGTGAGTGTCAGTACTTTAGGTTCATAGGACGACTCAGCAGCCATGTTGTAAGCGACGTAGCAGCGCGCTGGTCACCCGAAGCTCGTGTTCTATGCAGCCCTGTTGTCGTGTGTTACGGGTTTTGGCGCAGCGGGCCACATCAGGTATAATATGATCATGGGACCCTCTAGTAGAACGCGAGACTCATGCGACGAGACGTGATGGTGAGGTTGATGGGGGAAAGATGGAGGAAGCGACGTGACGAGATGGAAAGGCTTTGCGCTAATAATCAGGGCCCACATGTTCGTCCCGAGATGCAGGGGCTCGCAGTGCCACAGCGTGACCGACGTGTTTTGTGACTGCGACAACTGCACATCTCACAGATGCATACAAACAAACTTGGTAAGAACAATGCCTTCAGGTATGTACAGATACTTTAGCGATACTCCATGCAGGTAGCTCTTCTCCAACACTCCTACGCTGTAGACAACGAACTAATCAATCAGAAGAAGCTCATCTCGCGAACTGCTGCTAGACAAGTGATCTAGACTTGCTGAACATAGTTGGCTGGTACACTGCGTACTACGCCGTCTTTCTCGACATCTGCCCAGCCGTCACCAGCCTCCATGTTGATGAGAACAAAGCGGTCTCCTTCTGACATGGAATGCTCTGCGTCGCTTTGCGCAGTGTAGTCATACAGTGCTTCAACGTACTTCAACTTCTTCGCGCCACGCTTCGGCGCAACGGCGGGCCCCTTCTTCTTACCGGGAGCGGCGGCCGCGGCAAAGTTGGTGGTTGATGCCGACGATGCAGAGTACGTCGAGTCAGGTCTTGCTGATGAGAATGTAGAAGCAGTGGTAGGTGGTGTCGCGACCGTCATCTCGACATACGCTGCTGGGACGAGACCCTCTTTGAAGCCAGCACGGACTTTCATCCATCCAGAACCATCTGTGGCAAAGTGTTAGCAAAGTGACGAAAGAAACCTGAGATTTGAGAAGCGTCTACTACATACCATCGGGTTCTACAATGGTAACATCCGTACCATCTGCAACAGTCAATTCGCCCTCTCCATTCTCTTGATAGGCGTAAAGCATTCTACCCTTCGCTTCTGCAGACTTGGGTGTGGGCGGAGGCATGTCCTCGTCGTTCTTGACGTATTGCGTAGGTGGTGGAGCAACTAGCCGGTTTTTCCTGGCACCCGGTACAGTCGGCGCCTTCTTCTCTGGTGGTGGTGGAGTTTCCTCGGCAGTAGGCGACATGCCTCCAGATATTGAGCGATGCGCAGTGGCCGAATAGCCAGAGCTGAGAGTGTTCATGGAGTTTACTGTGTCGCTTCTCCCCAGTGGGGGTAGATTCGTACTGGAGCTCGTCGCGGCGCCATTCGTCGCTGTCACTGCGTGCGCGGCTTTCTGCCTTTCTTCTTTCAACTTCTTCTTCTCCACCTTGGACTGCTCGCCAGGACAGTCGGCGGGAACCTTCATCTCACACTTGCTATGGCATGTATAGCCACAGTCTTGACAGTCGTACCCCTTCGCGGACAGTCCCCATATTCGATCTCCGCATAGATCGCAATTCGTAGGTATCTTGAATGTCTGCGACTTGAAGTTGTGGTTTCTTGCGCCAATGCTCAAGTCACCGACAACTGAAGTGATGGTCGAAACCTCCACCTCGGCGCTAACTTTCTGTCTCTCCACCTCATGCATTTGTTCCTGTATAGCGAAAACAGCGCGAACGATGTCCACTTCATCTCTCTTGTCTTTTCCGTCCCTTATGTTCTGGCGCACGGTTTTGGCGTTCTCAACTTCTTTACGTTTCTTCTCGAGCTCGCGTCGGTACTCCCCCAATGACGTCTTCGATTTCGTGAGAACGTTGCGCAGAAATACCGTCGCGGAGTCGTCGACCGCGATACTACTGTCGTCTAGCCAAACCGGGCTGGGCTCGAATTGGAAGTCACCAGGCTCCTGGAATGAGCCAGCGTTGTGCCGTACGAACATCATCGAGTCGAGAAGAGGGTTGTTTCGCGGGATCTCGGCAGAGAGATGCTTCAGATACTCGGTACTTCGCGTAAGTGTTTGGGTCTCGATCTGAGCGGCGAGTGACCATATCGAATTCAGCTTGTTAACCCGTGTTTCCGAAAGATCCTGGAGGCTCTGTGACTGTTAGCCATGCGTCACTGGTGTTGCGGCTTGACTTACGTCTAGTAGCTCAGGGACGTATTCATGGTAGTACATCTCCTTTTGCTTGTTGGTTACGTTGATACTGATGAGATAGGTGTTCTGCGGTGATCAGTGTATGAGATGTGATATTTGGCATGCTACGTACCTTGACGTTGCGCATCTCGACCTGCTGCTGTTCGAAAGCATTCCGCGCCTTGGCTTTGCCGTGGTCAAATGCGCCGTCCGCCTTCTTGCGCCGGCTCTCAACCTCCTGGCAGACGCTGTCGTATTTGCCCTTTTGCTTGCGCAACTCGCCATACTGGTTGTCGCGCTCCTTCTCCAGCTTAGCAGCATAGTCTCCGTGCAACTTGCGCAGCTCCTCGGTGCGGGTGCCAAGGACCTTGAGGGGGTCAGCGAGCTGGGTGATGAGAGCGCCAGCGAATTGTTCGTGTTCGGAGGCGCGGGATTCGAGTGTGCTTAATTGAACACCCCATGTGGTCATAGAAGCGCTGTGTGGATGTGTCAGTAACGTCCAAACCTCATGCGACGGCCGTCATACCTCTCGAGCGAGCCTGGAGTAACGGTAGGCGTGTCACCAACACTGAGGCTGCTCTGCTTCTTTGCCTTCTTCTCATAGTACTTTTTCGCAAGCGCGCTGAGTTTTGCCGAGTATTCCTTCTCGATAGCGCTTCGTTCTCGGTAGAACTGCTGGATGTCATCCAGCCAGGAGATGCCGCCGGAGACCTGCAGTTGCGTGTCAGTAACTCGGAGCGCAAGGCACGTAGCTGGTGGCGCATATGTGTGTTCTCCCCCGGAAGTGTATGACGTACCCAAGCATTGACTGTCTTGAAGCCATCCTGTGATCACCCGTCAGCGCATGCTCGGAGGTGCTGCTCCAACTCCGCATACCTTCAGTTCGGCGCCAAACTGGGGCGCAATGTCGACCTCCATGGTTGCTGAGTTGCGTATGGGTCGTGCACGTGGAGAGAGGGGACTCGGGCCCCAGACATAGAGGGTGAAGGAGTGCTGGGGCGAGGGCGGGAAGGGATACGCGGAGTACACCAGGCGTCTTGGTTACCGGCAGCCCAATTAGTGGGGCAGGAGGAATGGCAACGAGGCGGTGCGTGCCGAGGAGGGAAACCCGGGATCTGAGCCGGTGACGCTGGATCTTGCTATTCTTCTGTTCGTATTGTATTATGTGGTGTGGTGAATAGTGGCACCCGCCGACTACAATGGCATGCAGGAACAGGACTATTGAGCGCTTTCACTCGGTCGCGCCTGCACACATGCTCGGGGCCTGTTCATGCGGCCTGCGCGCTAAAGCTGCCTAGCGTCTCAGCCCCGCCAAAGTCGACAACTGGAGCTCTCACAATTTCCAACGCGTCTCTTGTACCTGCAACAACACAGCTACCTCACACTTTGCGCCAAACCACCTTGAGCGAGCAACGACTTTGTATCCATAGCAATCCGCTCCGCTCAGCAAACTCCCGCGACTATCACCAAGGTCGCGCCTTCCTCACCTCACCGCCCGCAACGCGACCCGCACTCGCCCACCATGTCGGCGGCAGAAGAAACCCCCATCAAGCAGGAGCCGACCGAGGAGACTCCCGCGCAGGAACCCCAGGAAACTCCGGAGTCTTCGCTCGAAAAGGCCCAGACCGACGGCAGCGGTCCACCTGGAAACGGCTCTGCTCTGGCTGAGCCTAAGTTCAATGTCGAGGTCAAGCTCGCCGACCTGCAGGCAGACCCCAACAACCCGCTATACTCCGTCAAGTCGTTTGAGGAGCTCAATCTGTAAGTAGACTGCGCTCACCCACCGGGCCAGCTAACAATGTCAGCTCCGAGGAACTCCTCAAGGGCATTCGCAGCATGAACTTTACCCAGCCATCCAAAGTTCAAGAGAAGGCCTTGCCTCTGCTTCTGATGAACCCGCCCACCAACATGATCGCGCAGTCACAATCCGGAACCGGTAAGACTGCCGCCTTCTCGCTCAACATCCTGTCTCGCGTCGACCTTTCGAACCCCGAGCCGCAAGCGCTGGCACTCGCGCCTAGCCGAGAACTCGCCCGTCAGATTCTTGGTGTCATTACACACATGGGTCAGTTCATGGACGGCCTCAAGACTATGGCTGCCATTCCCGACCCGTCACGAAGGGGACAACAGTTCAATGCCCAAATTCTTGTCGGCACACCGGGAACTGTTCAGGACATGCTGAGGCGGCGTCTTATCAACCCAAAGAACATCAAGATTCTGGTTTTGGACGAGGCCGACAACATGTTGGATCAGCAGGGCATGGGCGAGCAATGCACTCGCGTCAAGTCGCTTCTAAACAAGGACATCCAGACAGTCCTCTTCTCCGCTACCTTCCCACCCACCGTCATCGCATACGCCAAGCGCTTCGCACCCAACGCAAACACGATTACTCTAGCGCACGAGGAGTTGACCATCGAGGGCATTAAGCAGCTGTACATTGATATCGACAAGGACAATGACAAGTATGCGACATTGCTCAAGTTCTACGGTCTGATGACACAAGCCTCGTCCATCATCTTTGTCAGGACCAGAAGGACTGCTGAGGAGCTCGAGAAGCGCATGGTTGCCGAAGGCCACAAGGTTGCGCAACTCAGTGGTGCCCTGGAAGGCCCTGAGCGTGATCGCATCATCGACCAGTTCCGCTCCGGAGAGGCCAAGGTCCTCATCACCACCAACGTTCTCGCTCGTGGTATCGATGTGCAGTCAGTCACTATGGTTATCAACTACGTAAGTTGTGATTCAAAAGAATATCTACAAGGGGTACTAACTGTTCTACCAGGACGTCCCCACCATGGCAAATGGAGTGGACGCAGACCCCGAGACATACCTCCACCGCATTGGTCGTACCGGTCGTTTTGGACGCGTCGGTGTCGCCCTTACTTTCGTACACGACAAGAACAGCTGGACACAGTTGAACTACATCGCGAGCTACTTCAAGACGGACCTAGTTCCCATCGACACATCGGACTGGGACGCTGTCGAAGAGCTGATTCAGGGTGTCATCAAGTCGTCGCGAGCGGGCAAGACAACGGAGGAGATGAGAGGCTAGGACGAAATTCATGGACCATGTGTGGGGGAACAAAGCTTTTGAGCAATAGCGAACACATGACAGGGGCAACGCAGCCGTTGACCTCTATGAAGAGATAAAAGAATCACGTACGATGGAAATGAATCAAAGATACCCAAGCTTAGCAAACTAAACCAAGTCTTCTCTTTTCAAGTCTCAAACGCCCCCGGCGCCGTAACCACTATGATGATGAGTGAACTCGCTATCAACGCGCCTGCTATGGCGCTAACGATGATAATGCTGCCTCTCGACGCGGGGAACTTGCCCCGTATAACGTAATGCTGCGCCTCGAAGTACCGGTGAAACCCTATCAAGAGCATCAAGATCGCAATACCGATAAACGTCGCGCCCAGCGGTTTCCCCAAATGCCGTAGTTTCGCTTGTGGAGAGGTCGTAGAAGATGAATCCGGCGAATTCGCTATCGAAGTGTTTAGTCGGAAGAGTTGCGTTATCGCTATGCCGATCGACGCGAAGGAGAGGGATGTACGGAGCCAGGCTAGGAACGTTCGTTCTATGTATCATGTCAGTATTACCATTCCCATCTTCCCCCATTCACATCCACAGGAGGCAGTTGGGAGGAACGGATTCTTCTTACCCAACGCCAAATGATCCCTAGCAACACTCCCCTTATTATCCAACTCGACACTCCCGTACTTTTCCCAAAACGCGCTCCACCACCCTTTCTCGCGTTGTTCCACCGCCGCCGCTTCCCGCTCTGCACTCCTCGCGCGGTGGTCTACGTTCGCATGGCCGTTTAATCGGCGCTGATCGACGGCGGGTTGCAACGTCCCTGCCGTGCCTTCTTGTGGTGCACCTGAATCCGTAGCTGCGGACCCTTGCGGTATAGAGGACGCGCCGTTGGGGTCTTGAGATGGGTTCGCGGGTTTGGTGGAGGTGGAGTGGTCGCGTGCACCGATGTCGGGGGATATGGATTTGTAATCTTTGGTGTGGGATTGCGAACTCGTTACTATGGGCGAGGTTTCCGAGGCGCCGCTGTGGGTTCGTGGTGGGAGGGCGTCGCGTTCGGAGGTGCGTTTACGGGGGCCGGCGATTTCGGCCATGGTTCCCTCTTCTTTCTCGATTCGTGGGGTTTACGAGACTGGTCGCTGGAGGTAGTGTGAAATGTTCCGGTCGTCCCGTACGGGTTCAGTCGTGGGAATAGTTATGGTACGGTTGAGGGAATGCCGTGGGAACCTTGGAAGCGTCATGTCATCCCGCACCGAGGTGGATCGGGCGAGGTACCGGAGCTCTGGCACGCGACGATCCGTTCCCCACGGGGTTCAGTGTCGTATGCGTCTGTCGGTGCATGCTGCCTCAATATTCAGATGCTTGTAGAGTCTCTTGATTAGGCATGTTAGATCTAAAGATGGGTGTAGCGTGATTGCGCCTGGTCGTCACGCAAGACCCGCATCTGCCACTGGCCTATTGGAACGAAGCGTGCTCCGCAGCCCACCTGGTCGAGACTAATTGCTTGGAAACATCTTGGATATGTGGGTACTAATTCATGCCGCAATGCTGATCGATCAGTAATTTCAAGCGGTGCAGTAGAAACTTTCGTAATCCAATTCAAAGATGATGCTGGTATATCTCTTGCCAGCAAGCCTTCTATACCCCTAATACATGACTATTTTCGTACATGCAATGCTCATGATATCAACAGTGTGGCAGTCGAAAACCCCTCTCGAACGCCGCCCAAGACCGCCAAAGGAAGCAGTCTGCAAATAGATTGTACATCGCCTAGGGTCTTCTTACTCGTTGTAGTGGTACACCTAAGACCAATGTTAGCAAGCAATGTCTGTGTGATAGGACGGAAAATGACTTACAAGGTAGTTTGGGAGTCCAAAACTTTCCCAGTTCAGCCGGTTCGCCATTTTGGCAAAACCTTCCGTCTCAATGAGGTTGTAAAAGGCAAACGGTGGGAACATGGCACCGTCTCGGTGTACCTCCGCCTTGACGAGCAAAGTAGCGCCGCCGACTCCGTCGAGCTTGATCTTTGCCTTGGGGTCCGCCGATGTGTCGTGCATCTTAGCCATGAGGCTACGGTACGTCGCCATCTCGGCGTACCCTTCGAGCAGAATGTCGTCCTTGCCCATCTTAGCAGCAAGGTCCTTGGCTGTAGGGCTGTCGATCCAGTTGTTGAAGTCGTATTCCCGGATGTCCATGCTCTTCTTATCTTCATTGTAGTATCTCTGGAAGCAGTTGGGGACGATGATGGGCACGTCGTAATCGGCCAGATCCTGGATCAGAGTGGGTGGTGTCTCGACGATATCCGCGTCCATCCACAGAACCCATGATGTTGTGGGACCTAGCGTTGTGAACAGGAGCGAATTGCGCGCCTTGGCCATGGCTGCACGTCGCGCCTTCTGATTCTCCATCTTGTGACGCTCGGCTTCGGTTTGCGACTGGAGGGGGGACTCGGTGTCCTGGCGGAGGATGGTAATGGCGGAGAAGCGATTCTTCTTGGATCCAGTTTGTGTCTTGGTGACTTGCGCCTGTAGCGCTGCGTATGCGGCATTGCCCTCCTTTGTCTTTGGTATTATGAAGCCCAGGGAGATGAGGTTGTGTGGGTAGTTGAGCTTGAGCAGGTTGTCCCAGTATTCTTGGTAGAACTTGGCCAATGGGGTGAGAATCAGAACCGTCTCCTCGTTTTCGATTGGCGTGCGCGTGTTGGTCACGTTGTTCATATAGTAATGTACGACGGGCGGCGCGGCCTGTGGAGCATTCGCCTTGGACTTGCGGAACGGTAGCGAGGGTGGCGAGAGGGGGTTCGAGGCTACCTCACCCCCTCCTTTTCTGGTAATGGACGGCACATCGGTACCAGAGAAGAAGAAGACGAAGAAGCCGATGCAGAGGATGCCCGCGAGGATTATGGTAATGGGATTCGAGCGTCGGAACGAGCGTGACATGGTGGGTGGACGATTAGGAAGGAAGGCGAACCGCGGCTGCCAAATGGGAGGGGTCTACGAAGGGCGCATCAGAAGCAGAGGCAGACGGTGGTGATGGTGCGGGCGTGGGTCGGCGCAAGGAGGTGTGTGCGAGACGTGGCCTGGCCGGCGCTCCAAAAAGTGTCAAGGGCGTGTGCGGGCGCCCGAGTGGATGGCAAGCGTCCGGAGGGCTTCCAGGGAGTATAGACGCGTCGGTTGACAGGCTCAATGCTCGGGCTGGCAGGTGACAGGAGTACTTGCCATGCTACCACGCCCGTTGTCGCGAGATGCGGCTCTGCTTACGTACGCATCTCGTCTCCAGGCCCTGCAGGCATCGCGGGTAGTGCGATCTGCTAGCTGCGTATGGTGCGTCATGACCACCTGTGCCTGCATCTTCAACACCACGTCCATGCTTCACTATGGTCAATTGAGCTTCGACAAATGCCTCTACTGGTTGCGCGACAATGGCCACTCTTGAGGCGCGCCGCTGCCGCCGCTCGCCCTCTGCGCTGTCCCTCAGTCATACCGAATAGACGCGCAAACTTCGATCAATTCAAAGCATATCACGCGCCCGTTCGTCGGCACTGCGGCATAATTGTACCACCGTCTGTGGAATCCCATGTAAGGAAATTGCTCCAAACCACTGCCATAATCTAATAACGTCTCCAGCCACACGATCTTGTTAAGCACATCGCTCCTCCACCACTGGACGTCGCCCGTCAAAGGACCTTCTGTGTCTTCTTCGTCACGCCTTCGTATGCGCACTATTTGCTGGACGATGACGCTTTCCTCCGCAACGCTCTGCTGCGCGCTTACGAAAACGCGGCCGACATACCGGACCTTCACATAGATGCACTGTGTGCTGTCGTAGACAAACTCCCCGTCAGCAGGGTTGGGGAGAAGAACCCTACTCAGCCGCCTCTTGCTGGCGCGGGGTTCGAAGGAATATCCTACGCGATTCTCCCGTCCGATGTTTCTGTACCGTCCCAAGAACTATCGCCATTGGACAAGAGCGCTATCGATTTCATATTTGCCGAACACAACGTCAAGGACACCGTCTATCGTGACACTTTGCGGTTGCCTCTTGCAAATACTGTCTTCCAGACAGGCTCGCCATCCACGATGATCCTATCGACTTGGACTCTGGATTCAAATCGTCAAATGACCCCTGTATCCAAGACCAACGTTTCTCATCATGGAATCCGCTTAGTCAAGCAACAGAAAGACTCAACTCCCGTTCTCCACGTTCCGTTGATTCCACTCACAATGCCCCGCACAGTCAACGGCTGCATGGGCAACATCATCCGCAGGGTTATCGGGCCTGGTGGTAAATCTCTGCAGGCCTCGTCGGAACTTGAAAATGTTGTTCCCAGATTCTTCAAATCACGAGGACAGCCTGCGCAAGCGACTGTAGCTTGGGCATTAGTGATACCCGATGAGTTGAGGGCCATCATTGCCGCTCGAACAGATGAAATCCTCTCTGGCTTGCCAACAGACAATCAGAGTCCGGTCTCCGAGCATACAAATGCATGGGAGCGTCTATGGCGCAGTGATCCCCCTCTCTATAACACGCTGGTGTCGCAAGCACTTACTGAAGGAGCACGTCTCCATCGAGTCTTGAGTGGTGGAGGCGGATGGGGAAAGAAAGCTGGCTTATTATCGTTGGATCCTGCAGCGGCCAGTCCAGCGGCAGACCCACCAAAGGATGACGATTTTCTCGGCATGATCAGTGATCCCCAAAACTTCGAATCAACTCTTACACCCGTGGTGCGAGACGGTGACTCGATACAGTTCTTCATCTCTCCGAAATCAGATCTCGAACAGTTGGCTCAAAAGTCCGGTCACAGAGGGACGATCAGATGGGCTGCCTTTGGGAACAAGATGAATTGGGGCTGGGAGGTGGGCACAATTCCCAGCACTGTGGACTCGATCCCCGGGGAGTTGTCGCAAGACAGTCAGACCAGAGGAGACAAGATACTGTGTCTTCCTGGCTTTGGTGCACTGAGTGAAGGAGCGATGACGCTTACACAGCACTCTCGGGTAGACGAAGGCATGCTCCACAGCGTCACTACTACGGTCGATGTTCCCTTTTCTCGTTTCCGGACGATGCGTAAAAATGGAGCTACGCCTGATGAAAAGAACGAGGACGAGGACGTAGGTGAGCCTGATGTGGACTCGACCTTCCCATGAATGTGTTCTGATAGCCCAGGTAGTCAAAACATGAGAAAAATACACCGAAATCCGTGCCATCCATTCATACGCAGGTGCCGACTCACAATCTGTCAACTCTGAAAGTAGCCAGCACGTCTCCATCTCAGCAAGAAGAGCAATCGCGGACCCCTCCAAGACTCACAGTGGCGGGACTGGTTCGCAAGCTCAAGATAGAAGGCCAATCTACTTCCGGCCGGCTCCGTGTTCGGACAGCGAACGCCATATTGCGCAGATTCGAGAAGCTCTTCGATAAACAGAAGAAGAAGCACACAGCAGTCATGTCAGAGATTCTGCAGCGCCACTGTCTTTTGATGGCTGTGAAGTTCAGGACGCTTATGGTTGATGCAGCGGATCTGATGGAACAGGCTGATTCCGTTCTGGACGACATCAATCGCAAGCTTGTGCGAAGGATTCCAGCTAAGGAGCGAGAGAGGCCAAAGGAGGAGAGGCTAGCGAGGAACGCAGAGAAGAGGGAGAAGAAGAAGGCACAAAAGGCTGAAAGAGCGGCACAGAAAGAAAATCGTGCCAGAAAAAAGGACAAGACGGACGCGGTATCGTCAACAGCGACGGGGGCGCCAATCCGCAAGTTTACCTCCTACGGAATGTCCACAGCGGTGGAGATCAACGAGAAACTCAAACCCGCCGTCTCTGAAGTCTCCCGCCTGACTGAAGAGGCGAGAGCCATTATGGCTGCCATTCAAGACACCAAACCACACATCCGCAGAATGCCCGTCTCAAAGCTAGCAACAGCGCAAGCCTTCAATCAAACACTAGGCTACGCCGTTCAAGACATCCTCCGTCTGACAGAGGAAGCACGCACTATAATGGCTACCATCCAGCAACGCAAACAACAATACCAACGGCAACGTACCCAGCAAACTCAATGGCGACACCTGCGCCGATGGGGCCGCGACACTACAATCGTATCCTTGAAGCCTGATACTTCACCCAAAGTCCTCCTAGACACGGCATACAAAGCGCGCCGAACTTCGATATCCATGATGCGAGCCTTCAAAAAGCGCGTCAGGAGTATCAAAGCTCTCATCCGGCAGCGTAGACATGACCTACGCAAACTGATCAACGCCAAGTCAAGCGTCGTGCAAACCCAGCGGCGCAGGCGCATCCGACGCGTCAGCCCGCCTGTAAACGTTGTACGTTACCCATCTGGACGCCAGACAGTGCGGAATCAGACTGTCCCTGCGTTGCAGAAAGGTAAACGGTTTGCGAGGTTTAGGACTGTGATGCAACGGCAGCCGGGACTCAGGACGGTGACGCAGCAACGGCAGTCGGTGATGGAAGAGAGGAAACAGAAGAGAGATGAACTTGCGGCTACGGTGGCGGGTTGGCTTGGTGGTGGTGGGGGTGCTGGTAATGATAGAAGTGGTCTTGGATCGTTGTTTGCTACCGATGAGAACGAAGATGGGAGGGAAGGAAGGGGTGGGCGGAGGCGACGGAGGTGAGGAATGGTGGAGAGTGTTGAAGAAGATGACAGTTGCTGAAGAAGAAGTTGGTGTATATAGATGCGATCTCTACATGGAAAAGCAGGTAGTGGCGATGCTCATGGTGCACATTGATCGTTGATATCCCAGCTCTTCACATCTCTCAACGGCAAGGCGACGGAATTTGTACATCTCATCTCTTCTCACATCGCTTTGCCCCATTTTTCAGGCGTCAAACAGGTATAAATACCGTTCCAGGTCTGCCCAGCGTCCTTTCTTCATACAACAACTTTCTGAGTTCTCAAAACAGAAGTTCGACACGTTCTTGACGATGACTGCTGGCTGTCGGAACCAAAAACCTCCCAGCACCTTTCGATGTCCTCCCTTCCGAAGCTTCCAACATAGAGATCCTAGTCAAACATGCTTTTTTCGGGTCGAAAGATGAAAACGATTGGTACATGTCTTTCCGCTGGACTTCTCAAATCTGCACATAAAGAATCTATGGTTGTGCAGCCAGAAAACTACAAAACACCATTGACAACTTCATGATGGTCGTCCGTCGAGTTTTCTCTCTGCTCAAACTTCTTTCATATACCATCCTTTCTTCCACTTCTTTCTACAAGAGAATGCAGAAGATGCCATGTCTTCCAAAAAGCCCACGGTCGTTATAATGACCAGTCCTGACTGTCCAAAAACATGCATCAGACCTTTGATGTCTTTCCGCTCTTCTGGTCTTCAAAACAACTTCAAGATCCGCTATGCCTTCCTCGAGTCGAAAGCTGGCATCGTCGTTCTCGTCTCCGGTATTGCCAAATGTTCGCATATATGTTACATGGCTGCGCGACCACAAATGGGGCAAGCAGAGGGCTACAGCTGTCTTCCTTCCGGCTTTCCCTCTGCTTGACCTTCTCTCTTATACCAAACTTTCTTTCTCTTTCTCTTAAAAGGACGGATGGTTTCTATCATGTCCTCCAAAAAGCACAAGAATTTGCGTTATGGCCAGTGCTGGCTGTCCAAAAAGAAACACGACGTTCTTACATGTTTCTGCGCTTCTGATCTTCAAACATATACGATGCTCCATTATGGTTTGTCGAGCCAAGATCTGCTGGTGATTTACACCCTTATCAGTCTTTCTGCTGGACTATCTGAAATTTCACCGCTACCGTTTCATGGCTGCGCAGTCCAAAAAGACAGCCTCATGATCGATGCCGGTTCTCTGCCGCGCCTCGTCCTGTTCACTGAAATCCGACTCTTATACGTTTCTATATCTGCGTCTCGTGCTTTTGATTGACTAAAAACTCTTCGAGCGCATACAATGTCTGCTTCTCCGGCCTTTGCGAGACTTGGGCATTTCTTCAAAAGTACACTTCTCTGTTCGCATGGAGTTTTGAAATCGGCACAAACTCCCATGTATGAGTTCAGAGTTCAGAGCGTCAAAACGCATGATCACCAAAACCGACTTATCAAAAGTTTATACCAGAAGACCATGGTGTCTGTGTCTCCTGTAAGATGCCGCATACATGTCTCTGGACCTGTCCTCCTCCCGGGAAGTATAAACATACTGGGCGCCTTCCCCGTTCTTCTCCCTCCTACTACATCTACGGTGGCTTTTTCTAAAATCTTACATACACCCTGCTCATGGAACCAAACACAACAGGATATCACACTATGTCCGGTGCGTGAGCACCCGGCACTCAAATGTGTATCGCTTCTTGTCGAAATCTCCTACCGAAAGCTCCATGGCCCAAAACCATTGGCACAGCTACCTATCTTGCTTCAAGGAATTGTTTAGACTCAAAAGCTGGAATTGCCAAGTTTGTGTCCGACTAGAGGACTATAAAACATCTTCTACTTCCTCTCCGGCCTTCTTCTCTTCACACCTTTTTACAACGTTTGTTTACAAAAATACCGGACTATTGACATATGGTTGCGGAACCAGAAAGTCATGATAGCAGCGCACATGACTGTCTTCTCCTCTGAGTCTCTAAAAGGCCTGCTCACTTTGCAATGGTCTCCGCCTTCTTTCCTCCTAAAAAATGGCCAATTCAGCGCCCATGCGAGTCTTTTTCCCTCCAAAGACACACCGAAGACCGAACACAGCGCTAGGCGCGAGGTCGTATAAAACGCTCTTCTACCCATTGTCAATAAGCTTCTCTCCAACTTCCCCGGGATACTTCCAAAATATCAAAAATGTAATGACATCCAGCGATGAACAAAAGCCCACGACAAACAAGCCATGTGTGTTTCGCGCGACTTCCAAGGCTACCAGAAACCGTTGTCGTCTTCTCGCATATGTGGACGAACTCCACTTTCAAAACTCGAAAATGGAAACAGAATGGTTCTTTGCCTGCTCTGTCAAAAAACGTTAGTGAGACAATTGAATGTCTGAGAAGCTCTGCTGCACCAAACTTCTCTGGACCGCCACGCATGAGTTCGAGAAGAAGAGCGACTCCAAATGCTCAGGTCCAAGGGCGCATGTGTGAGGACAGCACTAGAGACTCACGTATAAAAGCCTCTGGATCTTGTCTGGGACTGCTTCTCTTCTTCTTAACATTACAACATCTCACTCTTATTCGCCTTTTACCAAATGTGAAACATCAACATTGGATGGAGTGAGAGTGAGAGAGTTTCGAAAAACGATGAAGAACCCGTCATGTCCGGCGGAAGGCTTACCTCTCCCCATGATACAAACGTGTCTCAAGCCTGTCACTGTATTCTCGATGGTAATGATGATGATGATGATGATCATCATCATCACTCACACTCTCTTCTATTCTGCGTTGAGCAGTCCTATAGCTGCAATATGCCATTCCATCGATCTAAGAACATGAACTTGGGTTCATGTACTAAGACGTATTAGTATTGGCTTTGAGACGCGTCAGTAGAAGTGTGGGAAGTTGCCGTGTCGATGAGGACCGATCGCACGGGTCTTAGGTCTGGCCCAGACAATACTCTCGTAGCGATGCGTATTACTGTATTCTTGTTCAGCAATCGTGGTCGGAATGTAGGAAATCAGCCGATATGTGTGTTCTGAGGTTTTGGGTCGTATAGCAAGTAGTCAGTAGCGCTTGATAGCACTCCCTCCGAACGTCAGAATCAAGATTATCATCACCACACAACCATCACCTCTCAAGTCCGCACACGCAAAGACAAACCAAGAATTAAGTAATCTCATTTCTCGCCCATGCATATCCACCTATAATAAGCCTGTAACCCTCCCAGCGCCAATCAATATCAAAAGAAGTTGCCATGTAATGCATAGCCACCCAGCTTTTGCCCTTTGTAAAACTCCGAGGCTCATGAAGAACGAGAAAACAGGAACAGAAACATGGGGTGAGTGATATATTCGTTCGACGTTGTGTCCGGCCACTGAGAGCTAGGGTAACTCAAGACATGGACCGCACGATCCCTCCCGCTACGAGGATGAAGCAAGCGAGCGTGATGCTGCTACGGTTCTCGAGCATGAGGATGCTGGGAAGGATCGTGGACGTGCGAACGAGATATCGTGTTGTGTTGGTCACTCAGGGTCGGGTCGAATCGACGCAAGATAGAACCTCTGATCGCGAAACAACCTATAAATCGACTTTCGAGGACGTGAAGTCCCAGAGCATCTTGACTAGGGAATCGGGTAGGGTGTAGAGGTCGACGTGGAACTCGCCATCTATCATTCGTTAGCACGTGCCTTGCAATGGAAGATGATGGAGACCTACTCTCGACGTCATTCTTAGTGTACGTCTCGCTGGTCTTGTTGTCGTGGACCAATGTGACGACGTGCAGCAGGTCATCCTCACCCAGCTTCTGCAGTCCGTCGGCCAGCTTCTCCATGTCTACGTTCTTGTCTCTCCGGCCCTTCTTCTTGGCGGCGTCCTTGTTGCGCATGCCGTTGGCCTCGGCGGTACCAGACTCGGCGAGGAGGGCGAGGAGCTCAGGCTTGGGGTTGCGGAAAGTCTGCAATGGCGGGTTAGCAATGTCCTGGCTGATGAATAGCACGCGCATGTGGTACTTACAACTTGGTGCTTGGCCTCATAACGCTCCGACTGGAAGTTGAGGTCGTGCTCGAGGGTATGATCACCGCCCTTGCCAACAGCGGACAAGACAATGCTCATGTCGAACTCACCCCAACCCTTCTCATCGATGCGGAACGGCGGCTTCTTGATGACTTTTGGCATGTTAGTGGCAATGCTTGCTGACGGCATACTGCTGAGCGCAGTGTCGGGCGCACTTACTGTGCTTGTTCTTCTCGAATGAAGGATGCAGGTTGTAGACGGCCTTCTCGAAGACGCTGGGCATGACCTCGTTGCCCTGGTCATCCAGCAGCCAGACCTCTATGCTCCATGATCGCATGGGGTATCCCTCAACGGGCGAAGGCTCCGCGCTGTGAATGTGTATTAGCGGCTGGCGACGTGTAGACGCGTGAGGTGAGCAAGCGCATGCGATTGCGCGCGGATTGTACGTACATGGGCTTCTGGTGAGTGATGAGCTTGACCCATCGCTTGACCTGCGCGGTTATTAGCATTTGCGCGATGGTTTTGAGGGCATCTCCAGGCCGCAACTTACGTCAGGCATCTTGTCTGATTTGCGCCGCGAGGACTGCGTAGACGGGCTGCTGCGAGCGTGATTGGTTCCGGCCTGGCTGGAGAATATATACGCGAGGTGTGTAGAGGCGGTTCACGTCGGGCGCGGTCTGGCGTGTCGGTCTCTTGCGACGAAGCCGGGGCGCGTGTAGTAAAGGCGTGGCTGGTCTCGGGTCGCGAGCTCTGATTTGGCGAGTTAACTGAGAGATGGTCGCGGGGCGGCGGAGACGGAGACTAGTTGCGCTGGCTTGGCGCAAACCATCAAGCTGTAAGAAAAGCTGCACGAGCACGGAAGCCTGCCTGACAGGGGACTAGCCCTCTGCCAGGTGAGAGACGTGATACGGCATCGGCACACGTTTGCATTGCAGGTGAGACTGCACGCTATGCAGGGTCAATTTCGCCATTTCTTGAAAGTAAAGCCATCACTACCAAGTCGACGCATTTCGTGCCATCAGGTCTTGCATGGGGGGACGCCGTTGACTACAGTAGTCGGGCCATTTAGTTACTATCTAGTTATGTGCAGGGTGTGGGTAATCTCTTCTACCACCATCTTATCATGCCGTCCCAATTCCTCATTCACTGTTCGTGCAACCCGTCTTTTCGTATCTCATCCCATCCTCCAAGTCGTTATTATCCGGCAGCATTTACTGCTCCGACTTGCCGAAAAGCGCCTCGTTCTCTTGCTGGGCCTTGATGAAGGCCTCCTTGAACTGGTTGGCGTCTGACAGATATAGTTAGTGCTCTGCTGCGCGGTTTCGTGCATCTTCTTGGACTCACTCTCGCTGTTGGCGAACCGGATGGCCAGGGTCTGAGCCTCGGGCTCGCCCTCGCTGACATCGGCCGCGGCGTTCCAGACCCAGCTGCGGTCGCTGCCGACGTTGGGCGACAGCTTCATGTCCGGAACAACTATGCACTTCTCAGTATCCGCTTTCATATCCGCCTTCATGTATCATACCGTAGTGGTTGGCGCAGACCTTGAGGGTCTTGTCACGGCGCATGACGAGACGGGTCTTGCCATTCTCCTTGTGCTTCAGTAACCGGACGTCACCAGTGCCGCGCTCCTTCCACTCCCGCGATTCCCTGTCGAACTTGAACAGCTTGGCGCGCATCTTGAACACTTGCTCCTCGAGCTCCTCGTTGGTCTTGGTGTCGACCTTCTCGGTGAGGTGGACGACGGGCTGGAAGTCGACATCGGGCTCTTCGTTCTCGGGGTCCTCGTCCTGTCGTCTTGTCAGTACATTCTCGAAAGCACCGTAGCACATACGTACCTCGCCCTTGGGCTTGGAAGCACCTGATGGCTCGTCGACATCGTCGGCCTCCTCCTTCTTGACCTTTGCGGGGCCGCCACCGAACATGGAGAAGACGTTGTCCTTTACTGCAGCCGCTGCCTCCGTCGCCTTCTCTGTGATGGGCTTGTCATCCTTGCTCTCTGTGGTGGTCTCGGGCTTGTCAGACGCCTTGTCGGTGGTGACCTTTGCGGTCTCGTCCTGAACAAGAGTCGCCGCAGGGTTGGCGATCTGCTCGGCGGCGGGGTCGGGCTTGGCTGCTTCAGACATCTTCTTCTATGAATGCGGAGTATTCGGGTCTGTGTATAATAAGAAGAGAGCTGCGTTTGTGGGGGAGATGTGGTGTGTTTGTGGGTTCTTGTGTCAACAACTGCCTGTAAATTGGGAAGTGGGATGCCCCTCCAGAACGCGCTTTACCCGGTTCGGCTCAGGGGACGTGCCCAACGCGCCTGCTCACACCTGACGCAACGTGCACCCTACCAGTCTGCACTACGTGATGAGTCAATGCGTAAATATGACAGTACGGAGCCAAGGAGATGTGCGCATCTACAAGCTGCTGTAGATGTATTGTGGTATGAGATGAATTTGACAAGTCCTATAACTCCCAAGTTGTCCTACTGTCCACACCAGGTCCCAGGGGTATATCACTGCACCCTTGTGTCTGCCCTCCTGTCCATATACGCCGCATAATCAAAACAAGACAGTGCAGAAAGTCACATGAGATCCTCCACTGCGTGCCGCCTTCCCATGTTCCCTAGACCGCCCCTCCCACCTTTGCACATGCCCAACTCTGCCCCTCACCGCCTTCCTTTGCAGACAGTCCCGCCGCCGTCTCCATCTTGCACCTCACGCGAAGAGCATTCATCCTGGCCCTTTGCATCGCTGACGATGTCCGCACCGGTGCGGTCACCTTTCGCAACCCCATCCATGTAGCATCCGGTATCTGTCTTGCCCGCTGAGCCTTCATCTCCAGTTGATGCTTAGTTTCCTGGAGTTGCTTGGAAGCGTAGAGATCAAACCCGGCCATGTATTCTTGCAGGTGCCGTGCAGCTACAGCGGAGACGTTGCGAAGGGTGTTTTGTGTATCCAATATGTTTGACATGGCGGTGTCGAGAAGTTGATCTAGCGTCGACTTGTTGTGTCCGAGCATCACCTCGAAAGATTGCCGCAAGAGAGGCTTTGAATGTGTGGCAATGCTGACATTGAACTTATCGAATCGATACTGCTGATCCAGGTCGACAATGTACTCGCCAGTGGTGGTCCGGTTGTAATGTGCTGGAACCTCTTGAGAGTGGCGAGAAACTTGAACCTGAAGTTGGGGTTTCTTCCGGTTCGAATTGAAGGATTTAGAAGGACGGAGTACAAACTGATGGTCTCCGGTGATCTGGATTTCGAAACCTCCAGCCTGACTGTTCTTCGCCTTTGGCTTCTGGGTAGCCTGCTTTGGCTGGGACGGTACGACAGTGAGGCCTCGAGCTTCGTGTACAAGGCTCGAGCGACATGAATCCGGGTAGCCAGCCGCACTTGGAGACACTGAAGCTGCGGGCGTGATCGTTGTGGTGTTGCTTTGAATCTCTGAAACGGCTGGTGACACTGACCGCCCTTGGGACACCTTTTGGCACAGCATAGGGGTATAAGCCGCACCCATGAGAAGCGCGGGGATGAGGGCGAAGATAACGAAAGCAGATGCTAGCAACTTTGCAGTTGGCCATGGTGAGCCCATCTTCTTCGTAGACGTCTTGGTCTTGTCACTAAACCACGATTTGCGGGCTGTCGAGGCAGCCTTCGTGCCCCGTGCCTTCGCTAGATGAGGACTAATGAGTGCGAGATGGCGATTAAGCTGCGATGGCTCGAGTTGGTCGAACTGGTGGATATCGAGGGGGAGTACCTCCTTCAGCTCGTAATCAGTGTTCGGGTTGTCTCGCCCTTCTACGCATACCCGTAACGTTGTAGTGTTCTCATCAACGGAAGATCCAGCTCCGAAAGGATTGGTCTCAGCAAGTTCGATGCATGGGATTGTCTCGCGTTCGAATACTTCCTTGGCAGATGCAAGATCTTGCTTGTCAGCAGTGCTATCAAGGACGCTTGGGTGACAGAGGACCACAAGGTCTGGTCGATCTGAAGAGTGAGTAGACAGGCCGGAGCCGAACATGAGCTGTCGTCCATCTTCCATGATGGCGAGAACGTGCCTCTTCTCGCGCGACTTATGAATCTCCATTTTGGCACAACGATCAGCGTGCGGGACGGGGGCATAGGGCTCGATGTGACCGCGGACCATGACCGACTTCGAGGCGCTAGGGTAGGCAGCGAGCGCTGCGCAGATCTTAGAGGTGATGGTGCCCTCTGCCCACTTTCCACTACCAATATATAGTATTCGGTATGCGTCTGGGGTGGCGAGAGGGTCCTTGGACAAGGCTGTCTTGACCGACAATCTAATCTCTTTGCAGCCATAACGGTCGAACACCGGTGGCAGCTCGTCCGTGTAACCTGCCGAGCTCTTGATGACGCTGCTTCCATGGCTTACATCAGAACTGCCCGGGTTCTGCTCTTGTAGTACGAAATGCCTTGAGCTCATGCTCCCACTCAGGTATGGAGGAACTTCTGTCAGAGAGGAGTCTTCCCCAGATAGTATAGGGTGTACGTGGGTTTGCTGCTCTTGGGATTCGCCGTGCGAAGAGTATGTGCTATCTTGTAAGTGATTCTCGCCGGCTTCGTATTCGACGTCGTCATCGCTGAAATCGTCAGACGTGTCGTCGGGCGTGGGACCGTCGGTCGACGCGATCGACTCGGTGTGGGCTTCGTCGTCGGACATGTCCATGACGCCGTCGCCGAGCAGGTCATAGCTGCTGTCGTCGAGAGAGCTGCCCGCCTCTTCTGGGACTCGGCGCTGAGTCGACCTCATCATGAGCGTTTCAAGATCAAGCTTAGTGAGCGAGTGGGCCACCTGCACAGGGGGGAACTTGAGATCCTGGGAGGAGTTAGGCTCGCTGGAAGACATGTCAGCCTGTTTTCATGCGGAACCCAGTGTGATCAGAAGTTCAAAGCGATCCGAGTGTGGTGGAAGGAGAGAGGGGGGAACGGTCAAGGTGAGGTTGTGGTGGGCACCAGGTGGACGCTGCCTAACTAGCTGCGGGCGAGGCGCGTATGGGGGCCTTCGGGAGGAAGTGGGGACCAGCGGGAGCAGGTGACAGCACATACCAGATTGCACACTGATAGCGTGATAAGTGAAGTGCAGGACTACAGAGATGCTGTCAGTGAATGCGAGAGACGAGCGACTGTTCAAACTGCTGCGAGTTGTGGTGACGACAAGGTGCTGATGGACGGTCGAGCTTAGGTGGGATGCGTATGGGGGTAACCCCGCATAGTCTCATAGTAAGCGATAAGATACGGAACATGGTTCACATGGCCAAAGCAGGCCACCTCATTCAATGGAACTGAACAGGCGCGCTGCAATCTACATCAGCACAACAATAAAATTTAGTAAGATGCTGAGGCGATGCAGATTCCCGGTCCATCTACTTTTATCATGCTTTCAAGAAGTTGATGTTCAACCTTGCCCTTGCATGGGGTGGGGCCGTCATCTAAAGCAAGCAATCCCATGACCAAACAACGAGGGGATCATTCAAGAGCAGAGCTGTTTTCAACTTGTTCGTATTCGTTCTCATACACTGTGTCGCCAATGCGTAGAAAGTAAGTAAGCCTGCAACGACGCCCGCGTAGTCCTGATGCTCTATTGAAGGGCGGCCCAGCCCGTATGCAATGCCAACACCTGACGCCTTACTGGAAAGAGGAGTAGATGCTAATGTTCCCGCAAAATGCTAGCCTGAAGCTGATAGAATATCACGCGAGAAGGAGAGATCATGGTCCGTCAGGCCCAGGTGATGCCCAGCCACCAGCCACTTCTACCCATTCCGTGAGGCAGGACCCTTCTTTGCCCTCTACGTCGACAATATCCTGGTCGCATTTGCAGCGACAGCCGACACCGTTTTCCTTGACTGGGTCATAGGACGCCCAGTACTTGTCTTCTTCCAGTCGCTCCTTCTCGTCGAGAGTCGTTTTCTCAAGATATGGCTCTCGGGCGAGTTGTCGCGCAGGTGCGTTGGCGGGACAATGTTGGATGGTCGTATGCCGGTATCCAAAGTCGCGGAAGTAGTGGATATCCTCAGGGCCAAGTAGTGCACCAACAGCTAGCGAGTGGATGGGCGCATCTCCCCATCTCTCCATCCAGAAGCCGCCACTACGATCCATCAACTCGAAAAAGTCATTGTACTCTTTGCTGCGGAACCAGTTCAGATTGGCGATTTCGAAATTGCTCCAGAAATGGCACATGTTGTATGATTCGCCCTCCATGTTCTCTGGGTGGATTTCAGGCATGGCCTCTGTGCCGAACTCGGCATCCATTATATTCTGGGGGAAGAAGTTCTTCTTCGACTTGGGCTCTGTCTTGGGCGCCTTCTCGTCCTCCTCTTTCGGCTTCTCCACAAACATCTCCCACATGCCCTTGGAGGTCAGGTTGTTGTTACGCTTGTAGGCCGAGGCATATCGCCAGATGTTGGGGACGGTTTCGCGTAGCTCCTTCACCGCGATGGTGAAGCCATACGTCTTCTTGTTCCGGATCATGTGGATAAAGGGATCGTATGTGATGTCGCAGAAGTACTTGATCTCAGGCTCGAGGCGCCAGTACCAGTCGTATTTGGCGAGTAGTTCGTGTTGGTAGAATTTACTGTCCGTGTTAGTGGCAATCAGAAGAAAGCATGCTAGGTTACATACCCCGAGTAGAACCTGCACATGTGATGGTAGCTCTCCATCCCACCGTACATGATGGCCCTGTCACCCTGCTTGGCGATTCCTTCCTTCGCAACATCGGGATCTACCCAGTCGGGGAAGCCCCATTGCTCGGGAGGGATCTTACCCCACTCCACTGGAGCACTGACATGGGCCAAGACCGTCTCCCTGAACGTCTCGTTGAAGTCTCCGTCGTTGAGGAAGACGTATGGGTAGTGGAACCACCGATTGAAATGTCTCTCAATCGACTTGACCGACTGTATGACACCATCCAACTCCTTGTTTCTCGCTAGGACTACGAATGCAGCGTTTGCTCGGGGTCCGTTGACTTGCGGCTCGAGGCAGCCTACCGCGAATGGCTTATCGTACTTCTCGCTTATCCGTCTGCGCATTGTTAAATGTTGTTTGGATGCTGTGGTGATAGGATCTCACGTACCTTATCGAGGGAGGGCCGCCGGCGGGCATGTTCATAATGCCCTGTGAGTCTGGAGACTTTACGAACAGAATTATGATTATTATTATAACGAGACATGGAAACAGCAGCACCAGGCCCAGAGGTATCGACACGGATGAACTCCCCTTCAGCCGTATCCTGCGTCGAAAGAAGGACAACCGTGGGGAGTTCTTTTCGGCGCGGCGCGGTAGGTCGTCCAGCTTGTCTAGACTGTCCTTTGAGGTCGGTAGCCTCCTCGTCATGTCTTGCAGGAAGCCCATGGTGGTGCCTAAGTGGTGGCGTGTCTGGTATGCGATTTCCTGCCAATGGCAGCCCTACTGCTCTTTGGCCCAGTCGCAAGCGGTGCGGAGCGAATTCGAGGGGTCTAGAGGACGTCGACTGAATGCGACGGTTGTGGATGAGGAAAGGGCGACGTGTTCAACCCAAGGAGCTTGGTCGATAACGAGCGTGTGGGTCGTGACTCCAGGTGGGTGTACGACTATCGAGATCGGTTGGCGATTGGCGTGACGGGCTCGAGCTTGTAACCCTGAGGGAGTGAAAGGAGAGAACAGGGTCGTTGAATGTAAATTATTAGCGGCCGATGATTGCGTATGCGTTTCGAGATCTGCTAGTTGACATGTTCCCTGTCGGCGGAACGCGCCAAGCCCTTTAGCACGCATGCCGATAGCAAGTGCAGCGGACCAATACGTTTCGGGATGGGCTTTCACCCGCCATATCTAGGCACCCGACTAGACATCTCGATGGAGTGAATGCTCTCTGGAACCAAGAGTAGACTGCAAGTGCATCGTAAACTATCCGCAGCTAAGGCGGCGAAGGAGCCGCACGGAAACCCGCCGCTAAGCGATCGACACGACATTCAGCCAAACGACTAATCTAGACCCTTACGTGCATGCCGTGTCAGCACATCCCTTGCACTACAACCACCATGAGCTTCAAAGCAAAAGACCTCCATTTCGGTAAGTTTGTGTGTAACGCAATCGTATCATTCGCTAACTCGCCACAGACAGCTCACAACCAGCCTTCTTACAGCGGCTGCGCGGGCAACTCACCAGTGGAGACACAGCCCGTCATGAACATCCAATCGCGCGGAATAAGAGGATGAAGAAAGACGACGACGAAGATGATGCGCCTACGTATGTCATGGAAGAGACGAATCAGTCGCTGAGTAAAGAGGAGTATGATGCGCTTGTCTCAGGCAAAGATGACAAAGAGGGAGGGGAGCCGGCTGCAGACGAGGCTGGAAAGAAGAAAGATGGGGATGCGACGTCGCAATCCAAAGATAAGATTGCTGAGGTTGGTGCAGTCTCAAAGAAGCGCAAGGCGGCAAAGATCATCGGAGATGACCAGGACGAGAGCAAAAAGGGGGAAGAAGCGGATGTGAAGAAGCCAGAAGCGAAGTCCCCGAAGAAATCGAAAAAGAAGGCCAAAGCTGTCAAGCTCACTTTCGGCGAAGATGAAGGCTGAAGACGATCGCATCTCAACTGTTAGATATCACCCACTTGTGAAAGGCGATGCATCGATTCACACGGCTATTCTGGTTTCTCTACTTGACGCCAGTATTAGATCAGGCTGCGCGAGACCATTGGATTTGCCGGTTCCTCGAGGGCAATGATCGCTTTCATTCATCTGCAACTTCCCGAGGTCCTCGCGTGGTCATGCAGACTGGTTCGCAATGGACAGCATCAGCGACGCGATGCATATGGCGCAAAGGGGAAGGGGAAGCTCAAGCTGAGTCGTGTGTACTCTAGCATAAAGCTCACTTTAGAGCATGGAATGTCGCATACGAGGGCTACGAGCTACCAAGGTCCTACCTTTCAAGATGCTATGAGCACATGGGGCAATGTAGTGAAATTATTACATGTCAATTTCAACCGTGACGGTATACCATTACTTCCCACCGCACAATTTCGATCTCCTTTTGACCAAGCTATGCAGCATGTCATGTCTGACCTATCACAGTGGCCCTTCGTGGTTAAGAGGCAAGATCTCAAGATGCTGCCAAGGTCGGAACGTTCCGATCGGAACGAGGATGTTAACCCAAGCGCTCGGGACTCCGCAAGGAAGTTGAAGCCTCCTGCATGCGGTTTCCCTTGTCCGTCCACAATTCTGCCATACAACATGGCGAAGTTTTCGCTCGAGGTAATTCACACAATTACCTGTCCCATCACCTTTCTCATCCATTCTCCAGGACTTTGACAAACACATTGAGAACCTACGCGCGCAACTCCTGTTTCTCAATGAGACGCTCGATGCGACGGATCACAATGATCCCGACTGGTTGGCGACGGACTTGATCTCACTGCGAAACAAGTCGGGGAGGTTACAAGACGACATGAAGAGATTCAGGGACCAGCTCGAGGACGAAGGTCTGGCGGAAAAGAAGAAGGTATGCTGTGCCGTTTGCGCACGCGATGCCGAAAAGCTAACAAGCGACAGGTCAAGACTTCAAACAAACGTCTTAGTATTGAGGGCGCAAAACATGCCTCTACTACACCAACTGCGCAACCCCCGAACTCCAACCCGCATGCCATATCTCCTCTCGTGGATCAATCGCCCACACCACGCGCAAAGCGAGCCAGAATCGAAGACGACTATGTTGTTCAACATGTCGATGTCACCGAGGAAGTGAATAGACGGTTACAAGAGAGCCGTTTGCGACGCTTGATGCAGACGCCGAGCACTGCGCAGAAGCGGAAATTCGATGCATACGAGGATGGACCCAGGTCAGACGGGCCAGCTGGGACGGATGAAGAAGGGCAAAGAGGTGGACAAAGTGGGAGCGAGTACGAGAGAACCCCAACGAAGCGGCTGAGGAGTAGTGGAACCTTTGAGCATCTAGGAAATAGGACAGAGGACAGGCCAGGGAGGCAGAGTCCACGCTTTGAAGACAGAGTCGACGTGAAGAGGAGGAAGTTCCAACGATAATCAGCGAGAGATTTGCGCGTCTTTATGAGGTCGATTATGCATGATCGGGGCAGAATTGGACAACGGCGTCACAGGCATGGGAAGGCGAAAACAGCATATCAATAGGCGCATTTGAATCATGAGCAGTTTAAACCAAGTCACCTTGTGCACTGAGTACTGTTCGCGTGGCTTCAGATCTCCGCAGCACCTCCGCTCCGAAGGGGAAGCTGCAGCCGAGGCGGGAGCTAGCCGCCGTCTTTGCATCATTGAACTTTTTGACATTGCGACCACCGAACTACTCTGACATCACCCCTTCACTCTGTCTGCTCGAACTCCTACACACGCATTAGATCTACTCCGACACTCGCTGCCTTTTCAGAATCGACTGGGCGCACACATACTCCAAGATGGCGACACCGAACCCCGTCCAAAATATGCCCATCCCACCAGAAGAGCGCCTCGCTCTCGAACAACAAGCCCGATACCAGCGCATAACACGTAACCTAGCCATCGGCGGCCTCGTAATATGCCCAATAATAGCCATACTCCCACCACGAAAACTAGACCTCTATACATTCTCTCTAGGCATCGGCTTCTACCTCTCCGCCGATCATCTCATCACACTACGAACAGGCCGCGGCCTCGTACAAAACCTCAGTCCAGTGCGAGCCATGGAACTACCGACCGAACGCGCAAAGGAGATGCAGAAGATATTGCAAGAGGAAAGGGAAAAGAGTCGGAGGACACTGGAGCGGAAGGAAGGGCAAGAAAAGGGTATACTTGGGAAGCTGTGGATGGGTGATGAGGAGGAGGGTTGGAAGGAGCGGCGATTGGAGGAAGAAAAGAAAGCCATCGAAGAAGGAAAGAGTTATGGTGATATGATATTTGAACAGATTTGGGAGGTTTGGAATTGGGACAAGAAGAAGGGAAAGGACGGCGAGAACAAGAAGGAGTGAACACGTCTTTGGGTCTGCAGAGCCGCATTCTCTTGTATAACACGGATGTACGATATCGCCTTTGGGAAGGACTGCCATCCATTGTGCCCTACGTTAGGGTCTCCGGGGCCGACCAGTTGCGGGAACACGTTTATGAGGTGATGACCTAGATGTCTTAACGAATACAGAAGACCTGAATCTTTGACAGCAAAATGTCTTAAGTCGAAAAAAGCAATCAGTGAATCGTCTCTCATACAGAGCCTTCAGATGCGATTCGGATCTGCAACACTGTTGCGAGACAATGGATGCGCAGTGCAGCTGACTGGCGAAATCAACTTCTGACAAATGTCTCGAGCATGTCGCAACTAATTCTCTACTTCCCATCACAGCAAATAGTCCTCCTATGACAAGATAGCCAAGGATTACGCGAAACGAGCCTGAGCACTGACTGTATGCACAGGAGCGATGTTTGCCTATCGACCACGTACTCAACGTAGGCATCCGGCCATTGGCCTACTCCAGCGCCACCATCTATGCTCACCAAACTCACCGCGTCGTGTTTCAGCTCAGGCCAACGGAAGGACCAAACAGTAATTATATCTGGACATCGTTTACGCAGCCTCCCATTTCCTGTGTAACATCCTTCCCGTATCGACAGAGCCGCAGATCTCGGTAACAATACGCGCTTTACTCATTATTGCATTCCTACTGGGAACCTACAGAATGTCTCAGCCAAACGCGCCACTCAGTCACACAGCCGCCGATCTGTTCCTTCCATCCATGGACGGGGAGGAACAGCTCTCTCAAGCCGACTTCAACGAACTATTCGGATCAGATGGCTCAGGGCAATCTATCTTCTCGACGAACAACAGCGATATACTCGATGACTTCAGTCTTACATATGAACACGGTGCTTTTGCAGCTGTTGACTCACCAAACACCTCTACAACTTCGACTCCCAACTTCTCAAATTACGACTTCGGCCAAACCGCCGCGGCATACCCGACTCCCGGACCAAGTACACCCCATCCCTACCCGCTAGATCTGCAACGAGCCTTCCCAACAACAACTGATGATCCAGACCTCAACGATCGTCCTCGGCCTATGCGATCTCAAACAAACCATGCCTACCTCCACTCAGAACAGCCATCGCAAGGCTACGGTCGTCGTCGATCTTTGAGCACTGGCGATACAGATCGCATTGCCGCAGCCAACAGCATCACCAATCCCACTTTCGTTCGGCTCCAAGCACCGCGTGCGAGATCAGCCACACCAGAACACAAGAGAAGGCATGCTGCGCTCTTCCAACATGGAAGGAGTGTGAGTCAAGGTCCGGCGCCGAGAGGAAGGCCACTCAATCCAACAAGCATACCGTACTATACGTACAACGATACATTCGTCGCTGACATGTTCTCTACTCCTATTGGTACGCCGCTGAACGAGATGAGAGATCGCCGGGATCTGAAACATGGCACTGGTCACAACAGTGCCGGCATGACAGATGTTGCAGTTCGCTCGGATAACCCGGTCATCCGGCATATGACACGACCTGATGAACTTGCACGAAGCAGACAGATCATCGAGATTGGCGCTCTAGCGGTTGCCAGTCACTTGACGCTGGATCCTAGACTTGGGCTACAAAGTCCGACCACAAACCGCGCCCAAATTCTCAAGAAGCTCGCCGACATCGAAGAACATCTGGAAGACAAAGAAGCAAAGGAGGCTCTTTCTGCGTGTAAGACCATCCGAGACGCTTTGTCGAAGAAGATTGAAGCTGAGTTCATCGATACAGCAGACGAGGTGGCAGAAGATTATTTGGAGGCTCCCAGTAAAGTACTTGAAGGAGCGCAGTATGGTATTTACGACGGTCACGATGACAACGAAATCATGGGGTTGTTGATGAGAGAGAATGGCGTTGATTGCCAGGAGACTGGATAAGATTCAACAAAACATTCAAACCCGATAAAGCCGGGCGTCGAATGAATAGATGCGAGGCGTAGCGCTATTGGGCTGAGCGGATACATGGTTGATTTTGGGCTATACATGATGTGAATAAATACCTAGGTACCTCTGATGCACAAGAAACGAGCTGTGCTGTACATTGGTTCTTTAAAATCTTGCCTGACACAGAACCTCATATCCCGATGCTGCTGCAAATTCGATTGGCAGACAGAGTCTTGTTTCTGTGAAGACTGAGAGCGATGTGAGTGCTGCATCTCGTATTCCAAACACGCTAGCTCGCGACTTCACATGACCCATGGAAGCCGCCCCACCCGCCCCAGCTTACATACATACAGACCCAGCCACATAACCTCAAACGTGTCAACACGGGTGACCCTACTACAATTCATCATCGTACCTCTCATCATGATATTCCGGATAGCGCCTCTCGCTGCGATTCTCGCGTTTGCGCGATGCGGAGCTGCTGAAGTCGCACCGGAAATTACGACAGTTGCGGAGGGCTACAACGTGATTGCCAAGATCCCATGTGTTGGGTGCCCTTTCCTATACCAAGACACATCAAAAGGCAACGATGCGCCATGGGCTCAAAGAAAAGACGAAAACGCTCTGGTAAACCATCCCTACTGTCAAGGAGACCAAATCATCCGCTAACGTGCCCCAGCTTCTGAACGTCTCCCTTCCCTACGACTCAGCGCATCTAAGCATCAACAATGCCCTACTTTTAGGAGACTCCAAGATTCTACCGAAAGTGTACGTTAACCAAGTCTTGTTGGACACATCGAAAGATGATCTCGACAAGCTCGTCGCATCTGATCAACTCGACAACCTTGGGGGCGCTTATTTTGGCGCTTCATACGCCTACTCCCTGCGCCACGTCAAAGACTCCAATGCATTGGTGTTGCACTTCGATATCATGCAATTGTGGACTGATCTGACTTCTCCGGAGCTCACAATCGTTATGGACAGAAAAGAGCAGAAGATCCTAGAACTCGTCCTTCTGCAGCGTCCCCTGCTGTCCGCCGGTGACCCAGCAAGCGCTTACGAGATTATCCGCGCTGCACTCATCTCACGCTCACAGTCAAGCATAAACGGCAAGCGCATACAAAAAACGGCAATGTGGTTCCATGATTGGGACGACAATGGCAAGAAGGGTACAGCGACTCATGTTGTCAACTCGGCTTCTGCGTCCTTTGTAACCTGGCTTACTTCCGGTATCTGGTCTCTATTCATCTTTATTCTCGCAGTCATGGCGCTGTTCGTCGTCGTGTGTATGTTTTGCATTTTTGGGTGTGGATGGCACAAAGATGAGTATGAAACAGCACAACACGGCAAGCGCAGCAGTGGGAAGGGTGCTTGGGGCGGAAACGACATTGAGGCCGTGCGGAGGTTCATGACGCCTGAAGAGCTAGGACTCCGAGGCAGTGGGAGGGTTGTGGGGGTTGGGAAAAGCGATTGATGGACTGCGAGATGAAGAGCCATCATCCAGTCCGTGATCCTTCCTGATTGACTTCCTTTCTGACCTCGGCTCGATCCTCGTGCGTTCGATGCGCGACCACTTTCATTATCATCGTCGTGTTCTTGAAAGTCTCGAAAAATCCTGCTGCAGAGCCCACTTGGCAATGGCACATCACGTTCCCGACCGCTAGCGCGTCACCGTCGAGCCCACAAACAAGAATACCCCTGGGCAGATCACCACGCCAGCGAACACATCTCCCGCGCTCACACCTCCACGATGGCACTACCATGACTGCGACGATCTTCGGCGGTCCAAGCCAAATATCTCAAATAACCGTTCACGCAAAACGAAAAAGCAACCGGCTGCGACGGCCATGTTGCTTCTGCTAGCGACGCGCGACGTCATTCCGTTACTCTCCGCGCGCCGCTAAACGTCATTCACCCAAGCTCATTTCAACGTCGCGACTCGCACCGAACCCTTTCATTGCTCGATCTTCGTGGAGGCCACGGTTAGTCACATGGCTAATTCCAGGCCAGGGAGCTGTTGGTCTCGATGCGCGTCAACGTTGGTAAAGTTTGACAGCAGTTCATCGCAAGGCATCGTCATGGTCTGGGCTTGTGAGGTATGACCGCATAGGTTTGGATGATATGATAAAGACCCTCAAGTTTGCATGTTGGTGGAGTATCATCAGTATAGTAATCAATATCATCACTTAATTCACAAGGGTGCTGTCCTGCACATCCACCGAACACGCACAATGGCCATCACCAACACCACATCCACCGTCCAGGCAATTTTCGCCCTTCATGTCGTTACAGCAGGCGGTGCCATCATTCTCATCCTGGCCGCTCTTGCGTTGTTCGGTCGTCAACTCGTCGGCGGCCCTGGACGTCCCCGTACATTCAAGAAGTTTAACAGGTCAACTCTGAACAGGCACAGGTACACCAATCCATGCCCCTTCTATCCAATGTCAAGTCAACTAACACACAACAGCTCCACGGGCACTCAACTCTTCCTCATCACGGGTCTCACAACCCTCATGATCGCCTACGCCGCGCAATCCTCCATCGTAGCCCTCCAATCCCGCCTCCCCTCCCCCTTCTACATCACCTCCGCCTACGCCTACCCCCAATACACGGAACCCTTCGGCAACAACGACTCCATCAGATATGGAAAGATCATCTCCATCCTCTCCTTCACCTACCAAGGCGCCATGATCATCATGAACGCCTGCATCGTCGGCGCCATCTGGATCCACGCCAACCACGTCCAGAACAACGGCACTGGTATCAAGGAGCCTGGTGTCCTGTCTTGGGCTTTGAACGGCTTCTGGATGTTGGCTATCCTTGCTCTTGGCTTTGCTAGCTGGGCTGTTGGTCTTGCGCGCCGCGGTAGTGGAAATTCGGCGTTGGCGTACCCGAGTTTGATTGCTGTTGACTACATGGTGAGGACGCTTTACGTTGTTTACGTAGCCACTGTCATCGCTGCGTCGACTAGTGCTACTCTTGAGGCGATCCTGTGCTGGATTGGTATCAAGAAGAACGGTGTTGTCGGTGTAAGTTCACTCCCCTTTCCTACTGCGCACGACTATATACTAATAACATCTAGAATCGCTCCAAGTCAGCCCTCACCCGCTTCGTCATGCTCGTCACCCCCATCGTCTGGGTCCGCAACGCCTTCTCCATCGCGCAGCTCGTCCTCCTCTACCGCAACACAAACAACTACTCGCGCACCACCAACCAGGCCCTCGCTTTTCTCTTCATCATCTTCGGTGAGCTATGCGATCTTGGTATCTTTGCTCTTGTTCTGCTCGGCGCCTGGAGCTTCGGCCGCAAGGATAACCAGAGGCCTGAGGTTGTCAAGGAGGCTAGGTACAGCGAGAGCATGAGGGAGAGCGCGTACATTGCCAACCCCAATGCTGCTTATGTTGCCGACCACGATACTGCTTACGTTGATGGACCTGCTGGACCTGCGTTTGAGGCGGGTAGGGGTCCTACCTATATTCCCCATGTTAACTAAGGGAAGAATGATGATGTTGTACGATATGTACGAAACGTTGGAAAGAAATGATTTTGAAGCGTTACAAGCGTATTAGCGAGTCTTTAGGTACGTAATTGTTAATGAAGTATTCTGAAAAGAGTCCTCGTTCACTCAGCGCATATAACATCTCCGTCTTCCATGTCCTTGTTGTAGATGAACAAAACTGCGATTCCTCGCCCTCCTTATCTAGTATCAAGTGTCTTTGGGCGCGTTGTCAAAGACGGTAGACGGGGTGCTCTCTGGCTCCTTGTCGGCAGGTTCATCGTTCGTAGCAGGGTTCGTCTTGCGACGTTTCGCGGATTGTGAGGGGTTTGGTCCAGACGCGCTGGTCGTCCTGTTGATCTTCCTGTTAGCCGACGTACGGACAAAAATACACTGTTGTCTTGCCTCTTTGGCTTCGCCTTGTAGCATGGCTTGTCCCCATGGCAGTGGTACAAGCAAGCTTGTAGAATCACACGCTTGGAAGGACCAGAGCCGAGAATGTGACAGCGGTACGCGTAGCCGTGCGATACCATTGCGACGAAGTCTTGAGGAAACCTCTTGTAGTTGTTAGACCAGAGCTCGTACTCGGTGTTCCAGACAGTGAAGTCTGTGATGAATCTGCGTAGCGGGTCCTTCGCTTCTGTGCCGTCGAACACAGCTATAGCTTGCTCGCAAACCAACTTCATGCGATCTTCAGTCTCTGCACCGTCGCCCCATTTGATCAGAGCATCTATCAATGTGTCTCTATACTTCATATCACCGAGGTAATGACCAAGAAGATAGCCCTTGATTAGACTTCGCCCTTCAGAGATAGACTTGCCATCGCCCTCGGCTTTCATGAACAGGCGTTCGGTGTAGAGCCATTGGTTGTAGATCAAGAAGTCTTTCGATTGAAAGTCTGTAAGGACGGCCGTGAGTTCTGGGTGCTCGCGTTCATCGTTTTCCAAGCATGCGTCGATCAACGTAGATGAATCGCGGATCAGCCTTTCGTGAACAGTGAAGTTCTCGTGATCGGGTTTTATGCCGACGGTAATCGTGACCACTCGGTTTCCCATACTTCTCTTATCAGCAGAGCTGAGTGAACGCGTGCACTGTACTTACCGAAGCAGTTTGCGCTCTGGGTAGAGCGACATCGTGGCTGAGAGGTGCTGCGTGTTCGCGCGAGGCGATGGGAATGCGATAATGACGCGTGAAAGCGCAGAAAGTGGTGGTGGTGGTGTAGGACAGCAGTCGGAGTGGTTGGAACAGCTCTGGTTCTGAGAAAGGTGAGATACGGAATGAGGCAGCCACGTGAGGTGGATGACGTGTTGTACACAGACTCTCGTGAAGAATGGAAAGAGCACCCAGCTTCTCTCACCTCACCCTCGCATCTAATCGGTGAACCAACTCTTGATTACAGCTGGAATGCATAGCTTTATGTTGGTCTGCATTCATAAAGTGGGTGCAGCATATCTCCCAAATTTTCTCTCGTGTGTCATAATGCGTGCGGCATCCTTCTCCTTCCATACCACTCACGCTAGGCGTTCAGTCTTGCGCAGAACCTCATCAGTCGAAGCAGATCGTGTACCATTGATCCAGGTCCACACCATATACAGTCCATTATTACGCTCGTCGCTTTGCGTCTGGTGACTCGGCGTCGTCGGGTGCTGCACGCTTCGTAGCAAGGATAGATGACCTACACTCATTCAGCTGCAATCGTTTCGTGGACAATAAACATTACGTACGTTTCGGATTTCCCCCGATAACAGGGCTTCTCGTCGCCGTGACAGTGATATTTGCAGCTCGTCTTCCAGCCGTCAAATGGCGATCGGCTAGGTGGTAGATTCACGTATCTCCCACCGACAGCCAGTAGGATATCCGTTATGAGGTCCGGTTCTATAGCGTCCCTTTTCTCAGCTAAATTGAGAAGCTGTTGGCTGTCTATCGTCCATGCAATGAGGTCTGCAACTAGCTTTCTAGTGGGCGACCCAGACGGTACTTTCGTGTAAAAGCTCGATCCGTAGACTAGTGGGAACGCGTATGGTCTGCGCTTTATTTCGTTTGCGCATTGCATCAGACTGTCGTTTAGAGCATCTCTGAAGTCAGTGTCGAGTAAGTAGTGGCCCAGAGCAAACAATTCAGGTAGCTCCATGAGCTCCAGTAACAGGGCCACGAACGGGTCAACGCTGCTCTGTCGACTGTGAACAACGCCCGTGAGAAGCCAATGAAGATAGATACCGAAGACCTTCTTTCTAAAGTCGGGTAGTGAAATGGAGCGCTCCTGTGATTCTTGCCATGGTCCTCTCATCGGCCCGAGACCATCGGTTAAGCTCCTCGTGACCCGCAGGTAGGCGGAGGGCCTGTTTTTTCGTGAATTTACTCGTGGGAAAAAGCGTCAAAAGCTGGAATTATTCGTGTATTGCAAAAAATTCAATTCATTCATGGTCCTCTCATAGCTGCGTCGGCGAACTCGGACGAGGCACGGATGCGGCCTTCAGGAACCATGAACACGGCATTGCCATTGTAACCAACTTTGAAGGTGATCAACTTCTCGTTGGCACTGCTCATTGTTAATTCGTTGACGAATGCAACTCTACATCGTACTTACAAGGCAGCGTCCGCCTCGAAACCCCTCTGCACCATGATGAGTCCTGCAGCTCACTTGCCGTATGTAAATGGGTGTTGAAAAGAGAAGACTGTCCGGTACTTGGATTTTTGGGAAGTCGGAAGCCCAGGCGCCACAAAGTGAGAGAGCACGTCGCGCCTTCCTCGGCCACTCACCTCACCAGTCATTTCTCGCCTCACCAGCGGCACCGGCACTATTACGCCTGCGACAAACGATCTTTACACAGCTGATCAACAATAGATGCATTTCAATACGCTCGCTCGCTAAACCAAACAATAGACACAAGAAATAATAAATCGCTCAACGACAGAAGCGCGCGCCATAACAACGCACACGCTGGGTATCTTACAAACATCCAAAAGGTCATGCCATGCCCGGCCGTATCCAGAAGGAAAGAAAACCTTACCAATCATTCCACGTCTCGAGACCGCATCAAGCGACCTAAAAGCCCTCAAGCATACGCTCCTACCCGGTCATCGTCATGGAAAAACCCACTCCCATCGAACCCTTCTTCCTTCGGCGTAGCCCATACCTCTGGCGAGACATCATCGTAGCTCGGCTTGCGGGCCAGGTCTTCGGAGTAGACGCTCGCGTCGTCGTTGGTCCATCGCTGGTTCCTGTCGTGGCTCTGCTGGCCGTAGACGACGTTCCGGTCGTGCGCTGGTGCTCGCGGTGTGGAGCAGCTTATCCGCTGGTCGCCTTCACGCGAGATTATCAGGGTGTCGGGCGAAGGAGTAGGATACGATGGCGATGTGGCAGTCGCCGAAACGATGAGTTTGTTCACCAACGCATGCAAGTCCGAGACATCGTGCTGGAGAGTGCGGACCTGCTGTTCCAAGGCCTTCCTCGCGCTCCTCTCATGTCTGAGCGCCTCATAGACGTTCCGCAGAGCTCGCGCAGTCTCCTCGTTACTTCCAGTGTGAGGAACGGGAGGTGCGGCAAGCGTGGGAGAACCAGGCGCAGGCTCGGGCTCAAGAGTCTCACTACTTGATTGGACGATGAGCTCTTGATGAATGCTCGGAGCTGATCTTGAGTGAGAGCGCGATGCGGATGCCGACGAACTCCGGTTCCTTGATCGCAGGTTGCGAGGTGCGTTTTCGAGGATGATGGTTTGCCGGTTGTTACGGGATGACATCCGGCGGGTGAGTGTTTCGAGATTAGAGTACCTGGATTCGAGATCTTGAACGCGATCCTCAATGGGTATGCGATGTTGGCTCTTTGCTGGTGGCGGAGGCGGCGGCGAAATGCTTCGGACTTGCGGTGATTCTGGAATGGTTTCCTCCTTGGGTCCAAACAATGCGTTCTTGAGATCACCAAAGTTGAAAGCCGAGACCGGGGGCTGAACACTACGTTCCTGCTCTCGGTTCGGCTCTTCCGTAATCGGTGTCGCGGTCTGCGATTCGTCCGCCTGGACGAGCGTCGCGCTCATCTCGTTGAACGACTCGTTGTCTGGTTCCCGGATCATGGGTTCTTGCATCGGCACGGTGCGGACCGTCTCTACAGTCTTCGCTGTTTGCGGTCTACTATAGATGCTGCCGGACATGTAGCTCTCCCTCCAGAACTTGATCTCCGCACTCCTGCCTCTCTCCGTCGAGGCGCGCTCTTTTGCGAGATTGTGAAGAGCATCTGCACTTCTTGATCTCCGTCTGTCGTGTTTGGACGTTACTGTTTGAGTCGGACTGGACAGTGCGATACCGATACCGGGAGACATCTCATCTTCTTCAGCCTGTTCGTCCCACGCTGCCAGCTTTTCCCGAGGCTCGTCGAAACTGTGTCGATGAGTAATGGCACTTGGTACAGTGGGCAGCGTGGCTCTTCGGCGACCGAGATCCGGCCTGTCCGTATCGAATGTAAGGTACTCTTTCGGCGGACTTGCCGGCGGCGCATTCACGTTCATGGGGTACGGGAGATGTTGGCCTAGCGGATGTAATGGCTGTAGCTCCTCCACTGGCAGATCAGATATCCGAGGATTGGACGGGGGTGTCCTTGGTTCTCTTGGTGGTGTTGATCTCAGCATGGTAGTGTCCTGTTCTTCGTCAGATTTCATTCGTCACGCTGTTCTAGACAAACTTACACTATGGTGGTAGCTGTGGCCACGCTGCATTGGCTCTTCTTCCAAATCGTCCGCTCGGTCCGGGCCTTTTCGCCCGAACATCTTACGGAATACATTTCTGAGGCCGCTCTTGCGCTTATTCTTCTTCTGCGCAACTTTACCGGCGCTCTCTGGCGTCGAGCGAAACGGCGACGGGGAAGCGATCGAAGTCGATGGCACAATGCTTTCACGCTGTACTTCGTCCAAGTGTCGCACTCTTGGTGGGGATCTCGAAGAAATCGGGCGCTCGGGAGCAGCCGAATTGCGCTGCGGCTGCTGCTCTCCCACAGGATTTGATCGCAAGGCTGACATATGCTGTTCAGGCACAGGCGGAGGAGACTGAAGTGGTCTTGGCGGGGTTTGCGGCCTTTCATACTGCTCTTCTGGCGCGTCCTGCGGCTGCAGTGTGCGGTCCAGCGCGCCATTTTCCGCGTACTCCTTCTCTTCCTCTTCATTCAACGGCACATCCTCGGTAATAGGGATCGGCCCGCTAATTTTTAAGTTCCCTCTTCTGATAGCCTCAGCCTTCCAGCTGGAGCGCTCAAGAGGCGAGGGCGAGGGCGTCGACGCACTCATATCGGCGACGACAAAGCCTTCTCTTTGAAGCATATGGATGCTGCGATGTTTTGGATTCCGAGTGTTGGCGAATGCGCTTCTGCGGACGAGTTCTGGAAATTGCGCTTAGGCGAGGTTTACCGGGATGACCCAGCGAGCGTGAGGATCTCGACTACCATCACCGATGTTGCGAAAGCAGTTGATGGATAAGAAGCAAAGCAAAGGCGGACCGGAGCGACAAGCGCGGCAAACGTCCCTCCTCCGAAAATAGATGCAAGGCAAGAATAGCGAATAAGGAATTAACAACGATAGCCCCCAAGACTCGAAAGAAGCGAACTCGATCAGAAAGAGCGACGAGGTTAAACAATAGAGAGACGTGCCACAGACGACGTAACGAGAAGAGCAGCAAAAGAACGGGGGGGCGGCGCTCTTAGGGTCTATGTATCAGACCGAGAGCGTCATGTACCCTTTGGACAAGGGTGCCAATAGAGTGGGGAGGGTCAGTCGGATGGGGGGCGCGGCGGGAAGGAGGAGGCTATTATTGATGGCGCATTTGCGAATCAAGCAGTATGACCGGCATTACCTTTGACCACAACACAACGGGGGCTGGGGGGCTGCAGCAACAAATAAAGGCCTGATCGCTGCTGCACAAGCGTTGCATGAGAGGCCAACAAGTCGGACCACTACGCGAACGAACGACGTGCAGGTTGTTGGCGATGGGGCTGTGGGGTTTTGCGTCCAGTACAGCTGCATGTTTTCGCCAAAGCGGACTGTTGCAATCGATACGTTCGTTGGCTGCAGCACGGCACGCGCAGGCGCGCTCGGCCACTGTCCTCTTCAGCCCTTCTGAAACATGCGGCTAACACGTCTTGGACCTCAGCTTCCCTGTCGGCCTCTCAAACTTACCACTCGTCCAGAACCGCCATCTCAAATCCCAGTAAAGCCGTCGCAGAGCTAATCCTTCTGCGTCTACAAATAGCGGCTTGCAGCACTGACCGAGGCGTTCCACGAACCCTCCTCTTGTCGCGTCAGGTCTGAGCGCGAGAAGACATGGGGTCGCCAGGACGCATGTCATGTCATGGACCCTCGGCCGTGCAGACTAACAGGAATCCTTGCTCCAGCCTGCATTAACGCGTTTGAGGCTGTCCGCGGACTAACTCCGACGACGGCCTGATTGGAGCTGATTACTCTGGCCCACACCACACCGTCTATCACGACTGTTTGGTACTCTACTGCACGCGTTGCCTGTTGACGATGTACGTTGATGTAAACATGATTAATAGGGGAGGCTGGTCGACAGTAGCCGAAGGGTCTCGAAAGACGTTGACAGAAGCGACGTCGCAAGCGCTGGGCGCCGTTTTGATGAAGTTTCCGGCCTGCGCTGATTGCTCGATAGTATTGCGCCATGTATTGATGGTCACGACTCGCCACCACACACACTTTATCCTGCACGACACCGTTCAGCATAAAGAGTTTGAGAGAATGAGCGCATTACTCGCTGTCTATTCTGCGTGCTCTTCTGGCCCTTCTCGTTTCTCTTTTGCGCATATATGTAATCGCATGCAAGCCCTGCTTCGCCGTCTTACCACCGTAGTCTCATGCCGCATGCCACTTTGGCGATGACATTCGGCGTATGTAGGTGTTTTGGCGCGAGCTGTCTCGACTCGCGACTTTGACGCGGGACTACTGCAGCTAAAATCACGCCGCATACCATGGCTGCAGTATCGCGCTTCGCTTGCGAACCAAACCATAGCGCTGAGACCATGTCCTCCCCACACCACTCCAACATGTAGTAGCGAACCACAACTCCGACATTGTTTGTTTGGGAGCCCGTGACAGCGCATGTGTTACAGCCTCGCTTGCTTACACCCCTCATCCGCCGTTTTCTTGGTCCACGTAGACGTCTGCCAAGTTGGGATACCTGAGATCGGCGTGGTCTTCTAGATGCTGCATCCAGGCTTTTAGAAACTTGGAGCCCCTGTGAATCAATCAAGTCAGCAACAATGCATGGCGCTGTGGTGTGATGAGCGTATAGAATCCTCCGCCGTATAGCAGGGTGCCGAGGGTCTGGTCTCGGTGTGGGTGACGAAGGGTTCCCGTGTGACAAAGCAAGGGGGCGTGTCACGGCAGTTTCGAGTTACGCGGGTTTCAGATTTGCTTGTTCGCAAAGACCACATCCCGACGCCCACGTTCTCGGGTATGACCGATGTCCGCGACTCCGCGATGACGATGAGGCATCGGTTATACGACCAACAAGGAAGGCCAGTGGTGCTGGGGACATGAATTGGGAATGAAGAGGGCACGTACTTGCTTATTGTGTCTGAGTCTCCGATCACACAAAGATGTCGCTTTGGGCGTGTCATTGCAACT